ATTTTAAAGCGATTCCAACCTTGTTTTTCAGACCCAAACTGGCGAACTTTTGGTTATCGTAGACTGTACCTAATATGGGTCCAACAATAATATTGACGAAAATTTGTTAATCAACACTAGGTGAGGAGTACTCACTATACAGGCTGATTCAGAGAAACGTGGCAATATTTCTTAGACAAAAAGTAAATCAAAAAGTAATACGACAGGTTGATATAACTATTAGTCCTAAAACACCTCGTCACTGAGATACAAGATGTTGAAATTATAATTTCGAAATGGAAAAAAAATCTTTGGATTGAAGTTTTTTTAAACATCTATGCAGTTTTGAATAAAGTATTCAACTTTACTTGAATTTCATTTCTTAGGAATTTTTTGTCAAGCCTACTTCTTATGGAGAGAAATTGGTTTGAATGTTTTAGGTAAAATCCGTATGCAAATGCCTTTGAAAATACACTGCAGTTGACGAAGTTTGACAGTGAAAATTGAATGAATATTAGGAGACTAACTAAATGTAGTTTCTACTCTGGGAAATATTGCCACCTTTTTCTGGATCACTCTGTATTGGATGCGAAAGTAATGTACACTATTGGTAAAATCGCAGAAGTTGCCTGCTATAGTGACCAAATACATGTATTTTATGATTGCAATTACAGGCACAATAAAGTAACTAGCACATTAATTTGCTTATGGGATTTTTATATCACAATGGCAAAACAGATTTTGTGTTGAAATATGTTCTCGAACGCTGAGTTGTGACAGCACAAAATCCATTTTCTGAATTTTCTCTTACAAGCCGGGTGTCACTTGAAAGATGCGTTTTGAAAGAAAGAAAATGCTTAATCAATATTGTTAAAGATATGTTAATGCCTTTTCTAATACTTTGTACCCTGTCGTACATCCATGCATAAGTGTATTATGTGGAAAAACAAAAACATTTCAGCCTTGATTTTTTTTGGTTCTCCTAACCATGATCGCAAAAAAACAATGTTTTATTACCTTTATCTTTCAAGTTTTGGTACCGCATAGATGGACACGTATGGATTTTTATTTTTTACTAGAGTTGCTACAACCTTCACAGACATTCAAGGTAAATTTTTGCAGTATGAGAAAAAGCGCTACTTAATTTTGATCTAGACTTTAAAAATCTACAAACTCTAACACCATAAATACGTTGGTTAAAATCTCAGTTCTATTTACAATCACTTATATCAGTTCAGATTCTTCTATTTAATTTATGTTTGCTGTGTTATAGTAACATTTTGCATCATTTTATAATACCTTCTTGTTAACCCCAATAAAATAGAGATAACTCTAAATTTTATTTCTGATTACGAGGGAATAATTATTTTTGAGGACGCAATTTCCAATATCGCATTCTCCAACATTTTGGGCATATTTTTCTGCAGGGTATCCCAGAAGTCGACGTTAAGCCAGAAATGGCCAACACATAATAGTTATCAGATAAATATAAAAAAATCTGTCGTGATCTTTTCAAATTACATTCTTAAAAAATCTGAAAACCCTACACCCTGTGAAGATCTCTCAGTTCCCATTACTACAAGTGTCATTTTTTTTAGACGGAGTGACGGACAGTGTCATTCTACATAGGGACAGCAACACAGATAATAACGGCACTTTTATAGAGTCATCATTGTGTAGTGTCACTATGTCTGAGTACATCGTACAGGAATACGCCAAGATTGTCAAAACATGTTACAGAGACACCGGATAGATCCGCGATTTTTAGAAAATATTTAAAAAAGATGGTTACATGAATCTACACAACTTAAATGAGTGAATAACGAAACTTGTTTAGTGTTTTTACGGACCACCCGAGCAGATAGATACGGTAGACCGCCCGTACAATTTCGTGGCCAGCCCGTTCACCTGACTTAAATCCACTCGATTTTTCTACTGAGGAGCGGTGAAAGAAAAATTTTACACAAAGCCGCTGAATTTGTTAACGGAAGTATCGACCGTCTGATAACCCGATAATTTTCAAGATGTCAAGATTGCATCGCTGCTGAAGGAAGACAGTTTGTACAGTTTTATTGTGAATTTAATAAATACATTGACGAATCGATAAAAGTGGCGTTTCAATATGTCTTGGTGTCACTACGTTGAATGACACTGTCCGATACCACGTCTAATAAAAAATTGAAATTTATAGTAAAGGGAACTAAAAGATCACCACAGAGTGTAGTTTTTCCGATTTCTTTAAAGCCTATAATTTGAAAAGTATACGACTTAGATTTTTGGCCTATCCCCCGTTTCCGTCGTCTTCTGAATGGAAAACATGACATATCGTTTATACTTCATACAAACTCAATCATTACATCTTCAGCACATTTTCTAGTTATGTGTAATTAATAACACTTACAAATAACCTTTAGAAATTGACATTGCCCAAAACAAAAACAATATTTTTAGCACCAGATTCAAGGAAAGCTTCAAATTGACATTGTAAGTTTCAAGTACCTATGCCCAAACTACCTTGTTTTAAAACTTCCATATTGATTTTAGGTAAAAAAGTGTAATAGATGGCAATTAAAATGGTATTAGGTTCAAAGTATAATAAGTCAATAAACTGACCCGTAGTTTTTGGTTTGACAAACAAGAATTCTCAAGAGTAATTATATGTTTCTGTTTCTATATATTTCTGAATAATCATTCATTGAGACCCTATATATTATTTTCACTGCGATGACCATAAGTCGTAATCTACACGTTAATTTATAATACAGGGTGGTCCATAAGTCCTTTGAAATTTCAAATTTGAATAAAATTTAACGGGTGAGCGTGAGCGGCGCGGGCGAGGTGGGGGCAGTATCTTCAGTGTCTGGGAATTCAGTCGCCATGGAGTGTTTCACTGGAGCGGATCGTGCTTTTTGTGTGCGCGCGTTTTATCAAAATAATGATTCGGCAACCATTGCGCGGCTTAAATATCGAGAACACCACAATTTACACAATTTTACAAAGTGTCCAACAGCTCAAACGATTAAGAACTGGGTTGCTAAGTTCGAAGAGACTGGTTCGACGTTAGATAAACAGCGGTGGGGTCGACCAAGGACAACTCGTATTGAAGAAAACATCAACATTGTGGCACAGTCTGTTCGTCAAAATCCTACCCAGTCTACTCGTAAGCGTTCCAGTGCACTAAACGTACCCAGAACATCTTTACAGCGGATTTTAAGGAAAGATTTACGTCTGCACGCTTACAAAATTCAGTTAGTGCAGGAATTAAAAGATAATGACGCTATTCAGAGACTAAACTTTGCGAATGAAATGTTGAATCGATTTTCTTCGCTCAATAATGTGTTGTTCTCGGACGAGGCTCACTTCCATTTAAACGGGCATGTAAATAAACAAAATTGCCGTTATTGGAGCCCCGAAAATCCAAGGCGTAAGCATCAGAAGCCCTTACACAGCCCTAAAGTTACAGTTTGGGCTGCTATGTCAGCGCATGGCATCGTAGGCCCTTATTTTTTTGAGGACGACAGAGGTCGCGCATTAACTGTTACTTCGGAGCGGTATGTAGCAATGATAGAAGAGTTTTTGACACCAGCGTTGCAGAATTTTCCAGGCTATAAGACGCAGACCTGGTTTCAACAGGACGGAGCAACTGCCCACACCTCCAACACTTCTATGCCCGTCGTCTGTCAACTTTTTCCCAGCAAAGTAATTTCTCGAAGAGGAGACATTTCCTGGCCACCACGTAGTCCAGATTTGACCCCAATGGACTTCTTTTTATCGGGCTACCTCAAGAGTAAAGTGTACGACACCACTCCGCGATCAGTTGATGTCCTGAAAGAAAATATCCGAAGAGAAATGGCAAGCATTACAGTGTTGACTTGCCGCGCAGTCATCGACAATTTTAGAAGTCGTTTATATGAGTGCCGTGATCGTAATGGATTGCATTTAGACGATGTGATTTTTAAAACATAATTCCCATTCAATAAAGATGATAACAAAATATAATAATTCTTCATAATGTAACTAGTTTGGTTTTATTCCTTTTTTTCCAGCTCAAAGGACTTATGGGCCACCCTGTACTATTTCTCAGACCCTGGCTTAATGTTTCAAACAGTCACGTATCTGTTAGGATTTTTGGATAGAGAGTATAGCAAACTGAAAGTGAACTATTATAACAAATAAGTTAATTGTTCACGAAATAAATTATAGCTGAGTAACTGCCGGCGCTATTACGAACATGTCTTGCAAATTACTATTCCCTCCCAAATTGTTTACAGTTTCACTACAACAATGTTTGGCCGGGTTAGCCAGAATGCAAAAAGACAACTAAAGCAAGTGTCAATTTCACTAGACACACACATACATTTTGAAATCAAAACTTGATCTGAAAGGATCAAATCCAACTAAGAAATATGTTTTTGATGAAATTGTAAGGGTCGATCGAAGAGTCTTAGCTGTTATATTTCGCAATTTAACTAAACGATCCACCAGGGAAATTCATAATGCACTACTCAAAAAAAATTAAAAGAGCAAGACAAAAATTTAGATTTTTCAGCCGTTCCTGACAGGTTGTATTTCGGTGAAAAATGGTCGTATCTAGACTTTAAAACAAGCATTTTGAAGTTTCACGATTCTAGCTTTTAGGTTTTTTAGCAGCAAAGTATTAGAAGCAACGGTTCTTATGCAATTCTAACAGATAGCGCAAGGAATTTTTTTGCAAAATTTTTGCCTTTTTAGTTTACGAGCGTGGACATTTTTTCCAGTTAGGTCATCAGATAAAAGAAATCAGAGGAGCAAAGTCTCTGTATCAAAACATCGTGTAATCTAGTTGAAAATTGAAATATCATTTTTCTTCTTTTAGTTTTACTATTGGATATCTGTATCACCATCAATTATAACAACAGTAATTGGAATAATTTTATTGTTTTATTCATGGAATATTCGTTTTCGAAAATACACATTCTCTGTGCTATCACTATTTACCGAGAGATCAGTGGTCAATGACAAAAGGATCCTTATTCATTCAAAGTCAGATATCTCCGCGCCAAATGATCGTATCGAGATTTTAAAAACTGGATACTGAAGCTGAATAAACGAGCTATCCGATCTAAATGATTGCCCAACAAAATAATTCAAGCCCATGGTCTAAAAAGAAGACAAAAATATTGCAAAAAAATGTCCTTGCGCTATCTGTTAGAAATGCATGAGTACCGTTGATCCTAAAATGTTTCTGTTAGAAAACCTAAAAACCAGAACCTCAAAGTTTCAAAATGCGTTTTTTAAAGTAAACTAGATACGACCATTTTCCACCGAAAGGTCAGTCTGTCAAAAATCATCGAAACTTTTTTATGTTTCCTTAATTTTTTTGAGTAGTGTAGATTCAGTATTTGTGTTACAGATGTTGGTTGCATTTAATTTATTTAAATCAGGAATAGTTGGGTCACTGTGTCGGAAAACCTTTTTGTTTTGGATTTCTCAAGCAGTGCCGGCAAGTGTCCCAGAAGTGGTTGCTCCAACTTTTTACTGCTACTAAAAATAGCTACTCACGGCGATCACAGCTACCCTCATTAACCATTTATGGTCGGCACCCTTATTAAGAAACTGAAAAGTGAAAGGGATGGCGAACTGATCGCCATAATTGTCCCTCTCGAACTAGTTGTAATTCACTTTATGTTCACCTGTAGCAGCTGTGTGTGTTACCTAAGCGTCAAAATAATTGAGCATGTGCTATGGCTGATGTTATGTAACACCTGCTTCAGAGATGGTACTAGCGAAGGCCGTTCACAGCTTCGTTGGCCTAAGCTGACCGTTGGGTCGTTCTGCCATTCCTCCATAGGTTGTGTTCACAGCGAGTTCGAAGTATGACGATTAGATCGCTATCATAGCGATTATTTACAGGATATAGATGTCGACTGCCTCGCGGGTTATGCGACAAACAGAAAAAAACTAGTTGCTTCTATTAATTATATCGCATATACTGGGTGTTCTGAAAATACCCTTTTTTCTAAAGCGGCCCACATTATGAAAAATATAACAGAAAAAAACAATTCAAAATAAGTTACTTTTAATATTGCTACATGAACAGTACATATTTAAAACAGATTGCATCGCTGCCAAAAAACAACAGTGAAATCAAACCCATCTGCTTTAATCCGTAATATACAAATTTGTGCACTATACATACGCGACGGAACGAAAATGGCAACCATACATAAGTCAAAAAGATTTCGCCCACTATACGTTTTGAGCGAATAAATCAATAGAAAAAGCCTTCACGATGGTTTAAGTCATACGCTATAAATGTGAATCGTAGAGTCGATTATAGAAAGGTAGATAGAACTCGTTATCTATCTGAGCTAGAGCTGGCCAAGCGCGTTAAGGTTTGTGTACAAGAAAATTGCCTTTCTACAACTTTAACGCGTATGGTCAGCTCAAACTCAGATAGGAGCTGTATCATAAGCGATAAAATTTTTCATGTAATCTAAATTTCAGTATTTACCAACAAAGGTATCTATACATATAATCAACTGGAATGTTGAAAGAGGCAATTTTGTTAAAAAGGCCTCATGTTTCTCCACTGTTAAACAATGCTGGAGTATATCTTCTGCCGATTTAATTACCATGTGATGGGGATCATGGATGGTCCATCATAACCTTCAATAAAAGCAGCAACTCTTTGGGAAACCTACGCTACAGTAGGAATTTATTAAAATATGTTAAGTTGTCATCGAACATTTTCTTCTGTTAGAATGGCATCCCTATGAAAATTCTTATTCACTGCTATTCAGTCATATATCGGGTATAACAGAGCTAACGGAATAGCTCTGAATTTTTCCAGGTGAGGTATTTTTGAAAAAAGCTAAAGTCAGTTCGATTACTAACTTTGAACAAGGAGTTCAATGGTCATTATTTTTTACCTTGAGACTCACCTTAAAATAAATTACATTTCTTAAATGGAAAACTCCCTATCTGACAGCGTCAAACCAATCTAAAATCAAAGAAACCTCAAAACATCAAGTTTAGCACAATTATTGATTGGAAATTCTTCTTTAGTAACTTTTAACAAGAATTTCGATGGTGACCCTGGATTCAACCTTGAACCTCACCTTCAGTCATTTCAAGGTCATCTTTTTTTAACTGGACACCAGCGATGGAAAATGTTACGTTTTAATATGTTCAAATCCATGGTCAATAAGTTATTAAAAGTCTTACTTTGATTTTCAACACCAATAATCCTGCTCGATTGTTGGTGTCAAAAAGCGTCTTACTATTAAAAAAAAAAGTCATGGTCAACATTTAAAAGTTAGTAAAGACCTGACCTTGACCTTTTTCATAGCCATCCTGGAAAAATACCGTTCAGTCATTTTATTTTTGTTACACCCAGAATACATTTCATTCGTTTACTTATGATATAGAACAGAATAAATTGGGCCTGTCATGTCCACCGCGAGTGCAAAGTTCACCAGACGTATCAACTCATTGGAAAACCTGGACTAGAACTAATACTTTCGTACAGTACCAATCAGTACTGAATTCGAGATTGCATGACTGGATTCCGAAAATTACGAGGAGTGAGATACAATAAACCTGAGATGTAACACAGGTTCTGGAGACTATGATCGAAAGACCCTCACAGGAAAAAATCCAGCAAAATGAAATTTTTTCTTCAATTTTCTATCAATATTTTGATTGCGTTCTAGAAAACCGTCGACGTTACCTTCGATCTGCTGGCATTGGTAGTACGATTACTAACTTACCCAAAAAAGAACTGAAAGGATAGCAGTCTGATCCACCTTTCAGTAATCGCGTTCTACATAATATCTATCAAATTATATACCACCTTCAATCTGACACATATTTGCTGTACATAAAGTCATGGAGCATTTGTTGATCAAATAATATTCCTAGAGATATCCAATAAGTACAATAGTGTTGTAACAGCATGGTAACTGCTATGAGGTGCTTTGTATCTCGGCAACTATAAAAATAATAGTTAAGTTTGCTTTGATGATGGAATATTTTCGACAACATAAAATACAGTTTTTGTGGTCATGTACATTGTTCAAAATGTCAAAAAGAAGAGAGCATACAATGATTTTAGTATAAGTAGGATCTTGTATCACCATCTTCAATCAAGTCACCATTGTTGATAGGCAGTTGGTATTGTTTTAAATTTTACATACATATGATAAAAAAGGTAAATTTACAAAATACTATTTATACACATCACACCTGTTGCGGGGCGTTCTAGATCATCAATGTTAAGTTCCCATTTGATATGTTGCGGGATTGCTCAAACTTTCTCCGTTGGAGGTTGCTGCTTCTCTTTGTCCGTGGCGGAGGAGGGATGTTCCAATTTATAGTCACCTCCTATACTTCTGAATAGAAAAAAGTATTGGGTTACGAGCAGCTTTAGGGATAAATCGTGTACAAGCACATTTTTAAAAAATACAAAAGACCAGACTTCAGCAACTGAAAATAATGAGGTTTTATGAAATTTACGTTACTCGTACTGCCAACAGAAATTCAAAGACATATCGCACGTAAACATCCATCAAGTGGTCCATGACCCGTTAAATGGAATTATTGCATACAAACACTTGCGCAAAAAACATAACCCTCATTCCAAGGCAATCGAGTGAAAATCTAAACGTGAAACACACCAAAATAACAGGTATTTGACGAAATTTTACACGTAGTTCTAGAATATGTGGTCTATCTCTTGGATTCATATAGAACATCTGAACGTAAAAAAACTTATATGAGGCTCCTTTTCAGAGATATAAATCCCTGAAAGTCGCCACTGGATATCGTTTTTTTTTTCTTGAGTAACTTCTAAACTGGAATGTATACCTTAAGGAAATTTTGAAAACGTAATAATCAATCAGTGCCTCATATAACGGCATTCATAGAAAATAATTAACTCTTTCGCATCGTCAGGGGCGGTCTAACCCTAACACAATATTGCCATTTTTTACATCCTGTATAATAACTATTTAGCGATATGTTTTTGTTTGATACTGATATAATGGGTCGTTTTTGGGAAAAATAAACTTGTTTCAGTAAAGTTTTATCTATAGCGATTCTAGATGCAATATACTGGTTTTGTTATTTTCAAATTATAATTCTGATATCAGATCAGTAATCAACGACACAAATAAGAAAAACGGTATTATTTGATCATCAAGTTTTAGATTTCTATCTAACTTCTTGGGCATCGCCTAGTGTTTTCTTCATAAACGTATTAGGCATTCTAAAAATATCGTTCAGCCAATGGAAATATAAAAAATTAGCAATATTGTTTTGAGGTTAATCCACCCCTGGAGATCCGAGATAATTGATTGTTTCCTATGCACACCATCATAGAGAGCCCTAATTGTATGTGCTTTCAATGTCCCCATAAAAAGGTATTACGGAGATTCAAGCCACTGAGTGCCGCCAATGAAAATCATTTTTTTTTAGGCAAGTTCTGAACAAGACTTATTTTTTTGTTTGGCATCGGTAGAATGAAACACCCTGTAAAGAGACAAAACTTCCTTAATCCGCTTGAATTTTTTTAATATCATTTCGTGAGCATCTCATCGTATCAGGTCAAGTGTAGCAATGAAATTTGGCATATTCGAATTTGAATTTACCGCCGTGCCATTTCAAGTGAAGAGAGATAAGTGTCACTTAAAGTAATACTCGGTATACCCCACTCTAGACATTTGAGTTATGATTTCATCTTTCTATTCGGTCGTTCCGTGCTCGCCCTTTAGTAAATATGGCTGCAATATGGCAATACTACGCTTGTTGATGTGTGTGATTTTGGAAAATAATCACCGGGTTTAATTTAAACGGGTTGTTTTATATACATGTTATATATAAGTAATAAGAATGTTACGCGTAGTCGACGTAAACCTAACAAAAAAACGTTCAACCAATTATACAAGGGAAGAGGAACTATTACTTGTCAGTCAAGTGGCTAAATTCAAGAACGTTATTGAGTGCAAACTCACCGATAAAGGCAATAACCAGCGAAAGGTAAGGATCCATTTAACGATAATAATAATAAATAATAGTAGCAGTGTCTTTGATTTAAAAAAATATATACTGCCCATATGAGTTAAATTTAAATTATGTATTATCTACATTCGGAGGTTTAAAATTTGATAATTTGCTAGATACACCTCAGGTAACAATGCTCTATTTTAGAGTGAAGCTTGGAAAAAAATCACTCAATATGTCAATGCAAATAGCAACTGTGTTCGAACGATGGAGCAATTAATCAAAAAATTTGACAACCTAAAAGCTAAGGCAAAAAGAGTAGTGGCCGCAAAAATAGATATTTGAGATCCAGTACTGCTAACAATTCTGGATATTATAGCAGTGAAGGCAGATAATGTTTTTGAATTATATGAAATATGGGAGGGTGAAGGTCAAGAAACCGTAAGTACTGAAGATACATGATGAAAACAAAGTTTTATATTGAAGACAACAATACTTAGAATGGTTGAAATTCTGATTTGATGTCAATTGCGCCAGTGCTTCAAGTCAATCAAGAGGCTCTGCTTTATATTCAAATCTTGGGTATATGTATACAAAGGGTACTATAAAAGTTTTGCAATACAGCTTTATTTACTGACTTTGATCAAAGTAAATTCCACACCATTCAATACACTTCTCCATCCGCCAAAACCAGTCCTTGAACCAGCTCTGCCAAGTTTCACCCAGGAGTGCGGCACACTCGTTGCCCCAAGCCCTCAGAAGGTCCTCATCGCTAGAAAACCGTTTTCCTTTTAGCTTCATTTTCACATGCGGAAACAGTGTGAAGTCGCAGGGACCAAGATCTGGACTGTAAGGAGGGTGCTCAATAAGTTTCAGTCCAATAGTGGTCAAATACTCGGTGCAGCTGGAGCGTTGACACGGTGGAGGTACCACAATCCCGCTCGATTTGAAAATACAGCTATCATTTTTTTTTCAACAGATCGGTTTTTCTGACAGCTACGGGTGTGTCCTCATCATCAAAGACCCAAACCATGTTTTGAGCTTTCGTCGGCATATCGTAATAATAGAGCCAAGTCTCGTCAATTGTCACGATGCTGTTCACATACCGAGATTGCCCCTTATCAAACATTTTCAGCATCTTTCGGCACCAAGTCGTACGACGAGTCTTCTGCTCTTCCGTCAGACTATGCGGTACACAGTGAAAACAAAGTTTCCTTACGTTTGAATGGTCTTGCAGCATTGAATGAATTTCTGGAGCATGAAGGTGTAAAGTCTCCTCTATTTGTTGGTACGTCACTCTCCGGTCTTCGTCAAGCATTTTCCTCATTGCAGTAATGTTTTCCTCTGCTACTGACGTTCGCGGCCTTCCTTCCATCTCAGCGTCTCCATAATGAAATAGCCCCTTTGACATCCTCTGTACCACCTGAATATAGTCGTACGATGAGGACAGTCATTCTTTAATGCAAGCGTCATTTCTTCTAAGCACTGATCTATGCTTAGACAACGCGTAAAGTTATACCGTAAAACTGCCCTTATCTCACTACGTAACCACGATGCCATATTCCGCACTTTACATTGTCAATATGAATGAACTAGCAAATCGACAGACGTGCTGCTGGCGGCTACAATGCACTCAAGGACATGTCTCAACATGCAGTAACATGAAGCCTCCTGCGTCCGTTTGTTAAGTCATATTGAAAAACCTTTATGGTACCCTTTATAACCTGGCAGTTTACAGCAAATCCAAATTTATGGTTTATTCTCGGTTTTAGGAAAGTTCAACAACACAGAGAGAAGAAATTAGTATAATTCTAGACGAGGAAGATCCATCTTCTAGAACTCGGTCAGAGGTAATGTAAATAGATAAGAGTATGTACTAATATTAATAGAATATGTGGATTACCAAAAATTGGTGATGGAGAGAAGGTTTCGGAAAAAGATCCTCGCATTAGCCAACCATATGTGGTAAGCAAGAAACGAAATGAGCAAACCTCTCTAGTGAATTGAATATTTAGATATATAGACTCACATCAAAGTATTAATTAAGAGCTCCGAGAATCACGAATTCCGCATACGCAAACGATAACATGACTATTATTTGACATTCATCAGTCGTCAATCATTAATCTTAACGTTTACGTATGCGGTATTTGTGATTGCCAAACCTCAGTTTTGTCAAACTATTCTGGTTACAGAGATCCAATTCAAACGAAACGAAATCAAACATAAACGATAGAATTGTGCAAAACTTAGACACAGAGATTGCAGTGTCGTCCATTCCATCAACCTCTAAGGTCTGTATAAAAATATTATGCAAATGTTTGGTAGGGAACACAAAGATGTCAAATAACACTAAACTGAAACAAGATTTGAATTCAGCCATCTATATAGGCTGTGACTGACAATACTTTTCTGACATATACCACTTGAACTATAGTAGAAAACATTTTAGGAATATGAAGAGAAACAAGGAGTCATTAAAAGCGAAAATGATCCATACACTGCTAGAAATTTGGAGGCTGCGTCAAAGAAATCGGGAGTAAGCTCAAATATGAAACACGGTTTATATGAAAAGTTAATTATGCTTGCTGAAGAGGAAATAAAGAAGAATCGATTAGAACAAGAAGAAATTCTGATCAAGAGACAGAGAGACAATGAAAAGCATGATCGGGAAAATGAGGAACACAGGAAAAGGATGGAGTTACTAGATTTAGAAATAGAAGCTAAGAGGCGTATGTTGAACAATTGACTTGTATTTTACGTTTTCTTATAAAGCACAAATAGTGAAAATGCATTTGTCGACTTTTCTGCCGATCTTCTCCTAATTATGGTTTCCAGAAGTTTGGAATACGTATCTGCAGATAATTCAAAATCGAATATCAATAACATATGAACGACCACAGTTTAGCATATATATGGTGTCTCAATAAGAGCGCCGGATTTGATTTTCAAGAAAAACAATTTCTTTTCGAATTAAGCGAGTATTTATATTTCAACATGAAGAGAAATAGTTGAGATTGAACATGAAATAGGACATCCGGTAAATGGCCACCACGAAACCTCTGGCACAGTGTCAGTCTTTTCAGAAAATTCTGGATAACGTTTTCGCACAACTGTACAGCTTTTCCTTCACATAGCCACAGAGGAAGAAGTCCATTGGCGTAAGATCGCACGATCTTGGTGGCCAATTTTAATCGCCAGACCGAGAGATGACACGATCTGGAAACTTGGTCCGCAGTAACACCATTGTTTCGCGTGCTGTGTGGCAGGTCGCACCGTATTGTTGGAAGATCATATCCTCCACATCGACTGGGGCCACAAAAACTTGATTAACATTTCGCAATACCGCACACGAGTAACAAATACCGCAGTTGCAGCTGCATTTTCGCAGAAATACAGTCCATTCTCTTCGCCACTCCACAATGCGCACCAAACGGTAACTCGCGGCGGATGCAATGATTGTTCGATTATTACAGGAGGGTTTTCAGAACCCCAAATTCGGCAGTTCTGCTTACTGACGTACCCGTTCAGTTGAACATGTGCCTCATCAGAGAAAATGATTTTCTTCGAGAAATCCGCATCAATTTGGTGGTGCTCCGGCGCCCAATCAACGAATTCACGGCGCTGCGCATGGTCCGTTGACTTGAGTTCTAGCGTCAGTTGAACCTTGTACTCATGCAAGCACAGATCTTTTGTCAAAATTCGTTGCAGAGTGGGTCTGGTAAGGTTCAATTGTTGGCCACGATCCCGAATGGAAGTGCCTGGATTCTCGGCCACACTTTCCCGCACTGCGACTATATTTTCGAGGGATGCGACGAATAGTGGTTTTCACATTTTGCCTCAAATTTCGAAATTAAACGGGGAACTGTCGACTCATTTGGCGTTTTTATTGCGACCGAAAATTGTACGTTATTTGCGATCTGTTTCTGCGTAATTTTCTCCATTTCTGTATAGAGTTTTCACAATAATTAAACGTTGCTCGTTTGAATACTGCTCCAAGACGTGTAATCGCGGGTCTGAACATGACAGCTATCATCAAGTAAACACTATACCATTTGTACAAAGAAAAAATGGCGGCAAATTCAAATCTCGTGCTCTTTTTGAGACACCCCTTATTATCTATAATGATGCTGTCGAAATACGACTAGACAAAATGACCAAATCAGCCAGCGACATTCTTTCATAGGTGTCGTTCGCGACCTATGGGTTATACGAGCTGCATAGTATATATCTGGTGCGTGCTTGCATATAACAAATTTTAGGCTTGATAGCAACATTTCCGTCATTTTGGTGAAGGGCGCCTTGCGTTCAGCGGATGCGAACTATGTTTCGTGCATCGGAGGAAATGCCTCAGCATATGCTAGAGATTTGTGCACCTACATATTCGACTACAGAGAAAACCAAATTTGTCTGACGGCTCGAGTTCACTGTATACGAGAGAGAAGCGCGAGAGGTGTGTATCAACACATGTTAGAAAGAGATAGAAGCCGGATAAAGAACGAATGTATCACCACACTGCCTAGCGACGGTGACGCAGAAGGTCGTACTTTCTACCGCGTTGCTAATATGTTACACCAGAAAATGTTCGCACAGTATGTATCACCTTTGACGAATAATCGATAGCGCCAGTTACCCCTTTGCTTTGATTTTATTTATTAGAATGCGGAGTGCATGCGACTTACTTGGACGGTTCGACTACAGGTGTTGCAGTGACAGCAGCGATAACTTCGGTAGTACTCTTCACATCTTTACTACCCTGTTGGGATACAAATTGTGGAGGTACTAACACCACAGTATCGCACTTTGCCCCTTCCATATCGCCGGCTGCCGCGCTGTCATTTGCTTTCACTTCGACAGCGTTAGCCGCCAATTTTTCCGAGCTACCGGTTTGGATCACCCTGTCTGCAGTTTCGGTTATGCCCGCGCCTGCAGGTTCGGAAGGTTTTTGCGTTTCCATTTTCTCATCCTGCAAGAAAAAAAAAGAATATTCTGTATACATAGGGTAATCTCTAAAATGGTATATACAGCGTGTCCCAGAAGTCGAAGTCAATATGGAAACGGGGGGATAGTCCATAATAGTTATCAGAAAAATATAGAAAAAAATAAGACGTGTACTTTTCAAATTATAGGTTATCAAAAAAATCGGAAAAATATACATCCTGTGATGATCTTTTAGTTCCCATTACTACAAATTTGATTTTTTTTTTCTTAGACAGTATAGTCGTAGTAACAGAAAGACAGCTAGTAACGGCACTTTTACTAATTTATGACTGAGTAGTGCCACTATGTCTGTGTATACCATACAGGAATACGTCAACATACACCTCATTTATGGGGAAAGTAGATGTAGGCTTTATTGTGAGAGGTACACAAATGCGGCTCGTCATCCCGATCATCAACGCTTTGTGAATGTGCACTGTTTACTCTCAGAGGGACAACTCCCAAAATCAAGCATGGTGAAGGAAGAATTTTCTTTCCTCACGAGGACGTCGGCAGGCGAAGTCCCGAGTACTTCAGTACGTCAAATAGAAGCAAGCACGGTAGTGCCCAAAAGTACAGCCCACCGAATCTTGCGAAATAACGAGCTCCACACGTACCACGAACAGCTAGTACAATCTTTACAAGGAGGAGGAGGAATACATCCCTCACACAGTGAAAGCTCCTAAACCAGGGTCCAACGGCTGGTTCAACAAATCGTGTGACACTGCTCGCCAGCAGAAGATCAAGGCCCACAGAACCTACTTACAAAACCCCACTGTAGAGAACAGACAAGCCGACGTCGAGTCCAGAAACAAATATAACGAAGCGGTTCGCAATGCCAAAAACCAGCATGATCTAAAAGTTAGGCACAGGGTAATGTCGCAGCGCAATGGCAGTCGGTCTTTCTGGACGCTGGCCAAGCAGATTGAAAAGAACTTCTCACACAGTAGCCTTCCACCACTTACGTGTCAGGATGGAACTATTCTATTCGACTCAAAGGCCAAGGCGGAAGTGCTAGCCAAGATCTTTGCTGCCAACTCCACCATGGACGTCCCCACCAACGCCCAAGTGCCGTCAATTCAAAGGGTTCCCCACACTATGCGGGAGGTAACATTCAGGCATAAGACCGTAAGACGAGTGCTCTTGTCGCTCGACATCAACAAAGCTTCTGGTCCGGACTTGATTCCTGCCATTGTACTGAAGAGATGTGCAGCGGAGCTTGCTCCAGTTCTTTCGCGTCTCTTCCAGATATCTTATGAATCCGGCACCTTCCCAGAAAACTGGAAATTTGCTCATGTACAGCCCATCAAAAAAAAAGGATCTAAAACCGACCCTTACAATTACAGGCCTATAGCTCTGCTTTCTGTTATAAGTAAAGTGATGGAGAGGTGCATAAATCGCGAGCTTCTGGACTACCTCGAACGTCACAGCTTGATTAGCGACAGGCAGTACGGTTTCCGGCACCAACGATCTACAGGGGACCTCCTAGCTTACGTCACGCAACTGTGGAGTAAACTCATCCAGTCTCATGGTGAGGCTCATGTCGTTGCTCTTGACATCACGAAAGCGTTCGATCAGCTGTGGCACGCTGCCCTCTTAAGCAAACTTCCATTCTACGGCCTCCCAGAAAAGCTTTGCAGATGGGTGGCTGACTTTATCTCTGGCCGCAAGATATCCGTCGTCCTTGACGGATTCTCCTCTTCATCCCACAACGTCAACGCGGGTGTTCCCCAGGGATCGGTCTTGGCTCCAACACTGTTTCTCTTACATATCAACGACCTCCTTTCCTGCACGATCAACCCAATCCACAGCTTCGCTGATGACAGCACTCTACATGCAGGAATTCAGAGTGATAAGCCGATCTCTGCCGCTGAGGTGGAAAAAGACTTCTTCTCTGACAAGAGACCTGGAGGCTATCACTGCTTGGGGACGCAACAATCTTGTACAGTTCAATGCTTCCAAAACAGAGTACTGTACTTTGACGAACAAAAAGCGTCCTAGCGCTCATACAGTTTCGATGGACGGTCGAGTTCTACCAAAGAGCCATTCATTTCAGCTGGTCGGAGTCCAGATCACCGAGGACCTGATCTGGCACGAACACATCTCTTCAATAGCTGCAGCTGCTGGGAAAAAGCTAGGCTATTTGTTTAGGGCTAAGAAGTACTTTTCTCCGCATGACCTTCTCACTCTATACAAGGCCCAGATAAGGCCTAGCCTCGAGTATTGCTCACACATTTGGGGTGCTGCCGCCCTGACTACATTGTCCATGCTCGATGCTGTCCAGAGGAGGGCGGTCCGACTGATCGATGACTCTTCTCTAACAGACAGTCTCGGGACTCTTTCGCACCGGCGGGCCGTCGGCGATCTAGCTCTTTTCTATCGCTACACCAACGGGCTTTGCTCCTCAGAGCTCTCCTCTATGATGCCGCCGCGCGATGTGCCTGCCAGACAGACCCGCCTGACTTCGGCGTCCCATCCTAACCGTGTCAAACTTCGTACATCCAGAACTGGCCGATACGACCGCTCCTTTGTCCCGAGGGTGTCTAGATTGTGGAACAATCTACGGGAGGAAGCTTTTCCCAGTTCTACTAACCTTAGGCAGTTCAAAAATCGTATTAACAAAATTTCTTTGGGATCATCATAGCAGCCGCGGTGTTCCGGCATTTAGGCTTCTGCCTGCGCGGCTGTTTAAAAAAAAAAAAGCAATGATACAGAGTCACCGGGAAGATCCGTGATTTTTAGAGAAAATTTTATGGACTGATGAGTCGACATTTAAAAAAGATGGTAACATGAATCTACACAATTTACACGAGTGGAATGTAGAAAATTCACAATTGATGACACATGATAGATCACAGTATATCGTTCTAAAGTAAACATGTGGACCGGGATTCTAAATGGGAGAATCATACTATCCTTTGAACTGGCAGGGTTGTTGAAAGAAGAAAGGAGGTGGGCTGATAAGGGCAATTTTTCGCATATAACACAATCAAAAATAAAAAGTTCGATTCCAGACTATTATTGAATTTATTTGTGAACTTCAAGACGTGTATTTTTCCATTATATAATCTTTTCGGTATAAATAATGTAATATGCTTCAGAAATTATTTCCTTATGAAGCGTTCCAGGAACCACATCAACGTTAATGCTCAGTGAGTCTACTTATTATAAGCTTATATATGAGTAGTTACTCGTATTTGTTTTGGTTCAGTGAGAGCATCAATCCAAAAATACGTAATATATGCTGCGGGAGAGTGTGAGTCACGCTGCAAACGCTGCGTGTTCAGACATGATTTTTCGCGCTCGAAACGTATTTACCTAGTAAAGGTATAGGAGGTCTGATAGTGATTCGAATGAAGACGACAAAGAAGAAGATTAGTTAAAACTATTTTAGGTGTATGAAAACTGATCAAAAACTGCGTCGAAAAACCATTTCTACCGACAATTTGGCGCTGTATAGGTGTAATCCAAACGAATTTTTACCTCGACTCATAACTGTTGATGAGACTCGGGTCCACCACTACACACCTTAAAGTAAAGAACAGTCCAAACAGTGGGTTGGAAAAGGGGAACCAACTCCAACGAAGGCTAAAACGATTTTATCGGCAAACAAGATTATTGCTACTGTTTTTTGGGATGCGAGAGGAATTACATACATTGATTACCTTGAAAAGGGTAAGACTATCACTGGTCAATACTAGTCAGAGTTACTGCAACATTTGAAGCACAAGGTGCAAATTAAACGACCTCATTTGGCGAAGAAAAAAATTTTGTTTCATCACGATAACCCACCAGCGCATTCGTCGATTATTGCCATGTCCAAAATCCACGAATTGAAGTTTGAATTGATGCCGCATCCTCCCTACTCTCTAGACTTAGCCCCCAGCGACTATTACCTGTTTTCCTAACCTCAAAAAATGGCTTGGCGGTAAATGATTTAAGAGCAACAAAGAAGTTATCGAAGCTGTAAATCAGTATTTTGAGGAGCATGACGAATCCACGTTTAAAACTAGTATAACTAAATTGGAACACCGTTATGAGAAATGTGTCAGTGTTGATGGAGATTATGTTGAAAAATAAAGCAGAAAAATTTTTTTAAAACGTTGTTTTTCTTGGTCAGGCCGGAAACTTATCATCCCACCCTCGTATACCACGAATTTCAGTTTTCTTTTGAAATAAGTATGTTTTCTTCTTTTTTCTTCATAAATATATATGTCATATCTATTCGCTGATGGGCGAAAAAATGCTCTTATCAGCTCACCTCCTTTATTTAGACTTTTCTAGTACAATTTCGTGGCCAGCCCGTTACCTGACCTAAATCCACTCATTTTACTAACATTTCTCTTGAAAAATCGGGTGCAGTGTGTGCCTTACGTGAAAACCATGCTGTTCCCTCAGGACAAAGGATTCTTGGGAACAATTTCAAATTTCAGCGAGACAACGACCCTAAACATTCATCTCGAGTATGCCGCAATTATTTGGACCAGCAGCAAGAACTTGGTGCAATGAAAATCATAACGTGGCCTCCCAAGTCTACAGATTTGTCTCCTATCGAATATTTGTGGGATGAATTGGACAGACATGTGAAGCAACAAGAGCTCACTAGTGCTGCAGATTTGGGGTGGGCTAAACTGCAGGAAGAGTTGGTATCCTAATCACCAACTATTCTTGAAAATTTGATACGTCAGATGAGTCGTGTCTGTAACCGAGTTATTCGGGCTCGTAGTGGACATTTCGATGAATCACGAATTTAGAGTAAATTTTGATAAAAAGAAGTCACCAACTAATTGAGTTTCAGTGGAAAATACTTTTTTATTTTTTTGATTAAACACACTCTTGTTTTGATTTGGTTTGATTTCCCTCAACAAATCTACTGTCCCAAAACTTTTGAGCGCTAGTGTATATCAATACGGGATGTAACCAAAACTGCGGACTGCTCTTGGGCTATTACTGATTTACAAAGTACAGGGATCTGGGTTTGGCGATTCGCTCATAGATGACTCAACATCCCGCCAAGAATCCGCATGTTCCGCTCATGTATCGTGCCGGTGTTGCCAACATAACATAAAATGTTACGATAACGCTACATGTAAAATGAGCTGAATTGAGTTCTGTTTTTTTCACGGTTTTTGATGGCAATGTCCAACCAAATGTAAATTTGAACGAAAAAGGCTTCCATTACGACTGATGGACAATGAATTCCAAAAAGGATTATTTATCTGGCGTCACCGCATTTAGCTCTGACCAAATGATAACAGCACGTGTTTAGATGTTATCAGCTGTTTTGTGAACGCCATATTTTGGATTACATCTCTTAACTCTGTATCTCTCTCTAATTCATTCGCCTTTTTTAACAGTCTTCCCCTGGTATAACTTCTCTTTGACTATACCATGTCTATTTCCAATGGTCAATAGAATTTGCTTCAATAATAAATTTCTAACGATTAATAATGATTTGTAGAGAACAGGAAATAATATCATTTATTATATTATAAAGAAGGCATGTAGTCACGTGATACGAAACACCAATCAGGAAGCGTTACGTCATGTCGTATCGAACATCTTGTTGTTCACATTTTTATACAGATACTGTATCAGATATTTTTAATTTTAGTGGTTTTGGTTTGAAAAACAAGTTTAATTCGCTATGGAATCGGAATTCACCAAAGCTTATAGCAGTAGTTTACCAAAATCGAACGTGCTTAAGCGAGGAAAATTTTTCGCATCCAATAGTGATTTTTGTTCGTCGGAATTCTGTAATTTTAAAACTTCAATGTAAGTATATACAAGTGTAAAATATTTGTTTTATGCACAAATGGTATTGTTTTTCTGTTTTGTAGGAAATAAACTTTTACTTTGGCATGTATAGGCAGGTTTTGAGGTTAGACTTGCGCAGTATAAACATAGCTAAATACGTTTTGGAGTTTTAACATGAATAAAAAATCCAAAACGTGCAAATTATGGAAGATATGTGAAGGAAAAAAAAAGAAATCCGTGACAAGCAAAAACAGTGAAAATTTTGTTTGTATTTACATTGAATATTTATTGGGATCAACTTTGGCAATTTCACAAACATATTACACCTTACACCACATCTATTCAGTGCATTTTAGATTGCGAATATTCGATTTCTAAGACTTTATATTTTACAAACAGCAAAAACATAATATGGTGAACTGCCAACGCCGCCGCTAATATGTGGATGATACTGCCTAGTGTATGTCTAGTTCGGGGTACAAATGACTAAAATAATAATCCTTAGAGATGTCCTAACCTCTGTTTTGCAATTTTCGTTTATTGCATATAAACCTTTGTATTACGTTGCCGTGTTTCAAGACTCGGACCAGGTTATCAATAAACTTGAACATAATAATAATAATAATAATAATAATAATAAACGTCTTTATTTCCAAATAGACTGAGGATATAAAAAATAGCCAAATAGGGCGAAGTTCAGCTGTAGCTGCTCTTCCACTTAACCCGCTATAAACAGTCTGTACAAAAGGTGAGTGAGACCTACTTATTTTACACATTACAATTACTAAATGTATATGCAGTGCCTACATTAATACATCTACTATAAAAGAAACATAAACTTGTATCAATATTTTCCTGAAACATGGTTACTACTGCTGGGATAAGAGATATTTTTTTAATTGAGTTTTGAAACTTGAGATGCTCAGAGTTTTATATTGTATCGGAAGGGTGTTATGAATGGAACAAATTTGGTAGCTGAACGATCGTTCAAATTGGGCTGTTCGGAATATCGGCGGTGTCAACAACCCCCTGGATCTTATATTGATGTTATGCACATCTGTTCCAAATGTAACTTTTTCAAATAAGTAAGTGGGGGTCTTATACAAAATTATTTTATGAAATAATGTTGCGGCATGCAAAAATCTTCTTGTTTCCATGTTCAGCCAATTCGCATCTTTCAACTTATGCGATATTCGGTCTCGTCTTCAGATGCCATATATTAATCTGAGGCAAGAATTCTGCGCAACCTGAATTTTTTGTTTGTAAGTGGCAGTTAAGCACGGGCCATACAACATATCCGAAAAATTGAAGTGCGAGAGCACCAACGACTCACATAGATTTATTTTGACTTTAACGGGAAGGTTACGTCTGTTGCCGTACAATATTTTTAAAGAGGAATATGCCTTACGAATGAGCGAATTTACATGTTTTTCAAATCTTAAATTTACATCTAGTGTTACACCCAAGTTCTTTGCTTCACTAACAGTTTCAAGTTGTTGTGCATTGATGGTAAAGTTAATTGAGTTAGTAACAGACTGGCGCGCATGCTTTGGCCCAAATACAATTACTTTAGATTTGCTAGAGTTAAGATGTAAACAATGTTCTTCGGCATTCTTTGTCAATAATGATAAATCTCTGTTGATGGTTGCACTCACAATGTCCACATCACTGGGTAGAAAAGTATGATACAGCTGAGTGTCATCAGCATAGCAGTGCATTTTGCAAGTATTTAAGCCTTTGCCCAGGTATGAAGTATAAATTGCAAAAAGGAGTGGACCCATAATAGAGCCTTGCGGCACGCCTGATTTTAAGGCTAATACGTTAGAATAACTTCCCCCCAAGAAAACATTTTGCTTTCTGCTCTTTAGATACTTATTGAAAAAGTTGACACTATCCGAATCGAGGCCTATAAAATGCAATATATTTAGGAGTAAATTAAAATTGATCGTATCGAAAGCTCGACTAAAATCCAACATTATCAAAACTGTACACCTTCCCTGATCAGTGGCTCTGATAATGTCATCTGTTACATGTAGAAGTGCAGTTGTACAGCTAAAATTCTTTCTAAAACCAGATTGAATTGGAGAAAGCAAAGAAAACTTTGATAGATGTTCCATTAATTGCAACTCAACCGCTTTTTCTAATAATTTTGACAATGCTGGTAAGATGCTTATTCCTCTGAGGTGATTAAAATCTGAAGGATTTAGCTTTTGAATCAAACAACAATTTATTATATGCCTGATATAAGGAATAACATGTGGACAGCAAAGTTTTATTAGAAAGATACTCAAGCCATCACAGCCTGTAGCATTTGTTTTAATACCAGAGATAGCTTGATATATGAATATTTCATCAATTTCTCTAAATTTGAATTTGGAGTTTGTCAGACAGTTATCTTTGTAAAAATTTATTAAGGAATCTGGAGGTTCACTTGGGGAGATGGAATTTATAAAAAAATCATTCAGAAGGTTCACATCCATTAGGTTAGGGGGCAATGAGTTACTAAAGTTATTTTTTAGCATCTTGTTTTGTTTTAATATCCTCCAGATTTGCTGAGAGCTGCTATGTAAGAACTTATGGAAGAAATACGCTCTTTTCTCTCTTCCAATAGCGCTAGTGACATAATTCTTTAAATCTTTATAATACTGTAAGTGCGCATGAGTACCTGATCGTTTATATCTTTTAAGTGCTTCATCACGGAGCTGCTGCATTTGTTTGATAGTATCAGTCATCCATGGCGCCCTACCTTTTGTAACGCGTTTTCTAACTCAAGGGACATGTCTGTCAAATAATTCAACTAAGCAGTTAGTGAAAAAGGCTATTTTCGTATCAATGCTGTCTTGGTCGAACATTTGGAAAAAAGATATACCACGGAGATCATTCAGAAAATGTTCCTCACTGAAAAACTGGAAAGTTCTATAAGTGATAAAATTTTCTTTTGAATGTGGATTACCAACTGACATTTTACAAAAAACGAAAAAGTGATCTGGTACCTGGCCAACATCAATTATTCCTTTGTCTAAAACAAGTTCCTCCCGTAATAAGATAAGATCCAAAAGCGTTGCTGAAACACCCGATATTCGCGTTGGTCCTTCAATATGTACACACAGTAGGATATATCAAACTCAAAGCTGTCTCAAATTCGTTCAAAAAGTTATTTATTTCGACATATGGAGGCTTATAAATAACACCAATCGCAAAACGTTTATTATTCAACTTAACAGTAATCCACAATTGCTCACTAAATAACTTTTCTTCAAGTTGCATCAATTCACTATTAATGGTATGCTTTACATATATGAGTAATCCACCACCCCTAGTATGTCGATCAATACTGTATAAACTAAAATTATGAATGTGCACCGCATCATCATCAATTCCAGCATGTAACCAAGTCTCACAAATTAAAAAAATATCAAAAGAGTGCTCTGTGATTAGAGATCGAACATTAGATATAGATGGTAACAACGATCGAACGTTTAAGCTTCCTATGTTTATATTTTGCATGGTTATCGAAAAGAAGTCAACCAGTTATAGCGCCTACTCAAAATATTATAATAATTTTTATACTACAATGTGTAGGTTGGCTCTTGTTGTGGACTTCGTGTGTCGTTTTTTCCCCCTCCAACTTCATTTCCTCAGGTTACACCCGTATCCGGATGTGTGGGCATGTGTATCTACTTTTGTAGTTTCATATGTGCATTCATTTCGGGCCTGATGAAGCCAACCAGCAGAAATACGTATCGCTCGGGTTACCTATCCTATTTTCTGCTCGAATCCACTTTCCTCCTTTTTGCGGATTTTGTCCATTATTTTCCTACTTGTTGTTATATACCTTTCTCCGCATGATCATATTCTCTATATATATACTAAGTGACATATAAATCCGAACACCCAGTTTAAATGGTTTTATTTTAATAAAATTTTGTATAAGTACTTAATGAAGCATAATAAGTAAATGATAAAAATTTGAAAATGATTGCACTGCTTTAAAGCCCTTTGACCTTTAATAATGTGTGGATGCACCCTGATGTGCTACGCATTCTCCAACGCGCCTAGGCATGCTTCTGATCAGGTGGTCAATGTCCTCCTGTGGTATCTCATTCCAGGCAACCACCAACTCCTCTCGAAGTGCTTCTAGAGTCTGAGGAGGACGTTGCAAATTGAGCAATCTCCTACCCATCATATCCCACACGTGCTCAATTGGGGATAAGTCGGGAGATCTTGGTGGCCATGGTAACAATGTGACATCATTATGTTGAAAGAAGTCTATTGTGACTCTTGCAACATGTGGTCGGGCATTATCTTGTTGGAAAGTTGGATCTGTCAGGGTGTCAAGATAGGGTAAAAGATGGGGTCTAGAACTTCGTGGATATAACGCTGCGCGTTCATGTTACCTCTGATTAAGATTAAAGGTGACCTGGAACCATAAGCTATAGCACCCCAAACCATAACTCCAACAGTGTGATGAACATGTCTTTCAACAAAAAACTGTGGATTCCTCCTTTCACCACGTCGCCTTCTAACCCTGGCACGACCATCGTGCATGACTAAACAAAATCGAGACTCGTCACTAAAGACAATACTGTTGCATTCCTGATCCCAGAGTTACCGTTGTCTGCACCACTCAAGGCGATTACGTCGGTGTTCTCGAGTTAAAGGGAGGACCCAGTGTGGCCGGTATGAAAACAAGCCAAAACTTCTCATTCGTCGGTAAACACTTCGCATGCCAATAGGTCTTCCGTGTTCTGCAAACCATTCATTTGCAATGGACCTGGTAGTGGAGAAACGGTCCCTTAAGGCCAATAATCTTAGGCGGCGATCTTCACGGTCTGTTGTTCTACGGCGGCGTCCAGTGCCCCTTGCTCTTTGCGTACGGCCTTCTCGAATCCATGCCTGACAACACCTAACCACAGTGTCTACACTTCTTTGCACTCTAACTGCAATTGCCAGAAAAGAAAGTCCAGCTTCCCGAAGTCCCACTATACGGCCCCTATCAAACTCACTAAGTTGACGAAATCGTACAGGTCTCCGTACTCTAGGCATCGTAACCGATTGTAAAGGATGTCAAGAACCAAAATCCGCCAACGTTGATTCTTTACTGCGGCTGAAATATTCATTTTTAGAGCGTTGGTGAATTAAGAAAAAACAGTATAAAAACCGGAATGTCCAACTGATGAGGCTGAAAATTTTTTCACTTGTTATTTACAGTAAGATAAATACATTCGCCAACTTTTATTAAAATAAAACCATTTAAACTGGGTGTTCGGATTTATATGTCACTTAGTATATACAGGGTGTTCCATAATTATTGCGACAAAATGATAGGGGTTGTAGAGGGCATAAAAATATGCAATTTTGCCTTATAAACCCCTGTTCGTAAATATGCCGTTTGAGCACTACAGTTAATTTTACCTTAAGAGCTCATAGGAGAAACAAAAAATTCACCAGCTGCAAAATGTTCGTCTAGCACATTTCATAGTCTCACCGGTTTGTAAAAAAAGCCTGCTGTGTTTACATTTTTGTTATCGTACACCCGTACCACCTTTTAAAAGTCCAAGCCATGGGTCCAGCAGATCTGCCGCGTCGACGTTTTTGCCGTTGGTGGCTGCAGCAGGAGTTGAGGCAACCAAACTTTGGTCGCTACGTTTTGTTCACTGACGAGTCCTGTTTCACAAAGGACGGTTATTTTAATAGCCATAACAGTCACATTTGGGATGAAGAAAACCCTCATGCCATAGCCATCCATAGAGACCAACATCAGTTTTCAATTAACATCTGGTGCGGCATTGTGGACGAGCATATCATCGGGCCATATCTGCTTCCACCACGTTTGGATGGGCATGCTTATGGTCGATCCTTACAGCATGTGCTACCGGAACTATTACAAAATGTGCCACTGAATATAAGAGCCAACATGTGGTTTCAACACCATGGCGGTCCAGCCCGCTTTTCTTTACAAGTGCGGCAGTATTTGGACGACAGATTTCCAAATAGGTGGATAGGCCGAGGTGGCCCTGTGCCTTGGCCTGCGCGGTCACTTGACCTGACCCCACTGGATTATTTTATCTGGAGCTATCTGAAAGCTTTAGTGTACGAAACTCCTGTTCCCAACCAACAAGAGCTACTGGGAAGAGTGATGGCCGCGTCCGCACATGTTCAGGACATACCGGGGGTATGCCACAGAGTTCGCCGATCATTGAACAATCGTGCACAGCTGTGTATTGAGCAAGGTGGAGGACACTTTGAGCAATTACTGTAGGTAAGCTGTTTCAAGAAACTGATCTTTTTTTTTTGCTGCAGCCCAAACGGCATATTTCCGAACAGGGGTTTATAAGGAAAAATTGTTCATTTTGATGCCCTCTACAACCCCTTTCATTTTGTCGCAATAATTATGGAACACCCTGTATATATATATATATATATATATATATATATATATATGTATACATATATACATATATATACACACATATACATATATATGTAGGTTACTAGAATTAAATGAATGTTGTAATCTGCAAAAAGTTGTTGGTCTCAAAAAAATTAGTACGAAAGAAAGTAAGAGAAAAAAAAAAACGGATTCCACGTGAAAGTGGGAGCTCAATTGCACGAGTGTTGTGCTGCAGATTAAAATGGATATATAATCATCTTAATGAGAAAAAGATAAACTGTCAGCAATACATAAATGAGAATAACTAAAACTATTCCCACTTGCTCAGAATCAAAATAGAGGATGACGTCATGACGCCGTATTGATTCATAAGAAGCTTCACTTCGATACACTTAAAAATTGAAATAAGGAGAACACATAAACGAGAAGAAATGTCGAGTGATCAAAATAATTGGGAAACAAATTATTAGGTATCAACAAAAAAGTAGATATACTTAATATATTCAGGCCACAAAATAGTGTTTTTATTATGGGACTGTCATCCTCTATTCATTACTGTAAAAAACTTAAAAATCATGAATAAAAATCAACAATAGCGACAGAATCAGGCAGAACGTAGCCTTCAAGAATAAAAAAAATCTAATCTAATACAAACTTTCTTTTGCAAAAAAAAAACGGTTGCATTATCATCTCAATATGAATGAACAAAACGGCACTCACAATTTTGCAATATCACTGGGCTTCTCTATCTTAACAGTTCTGCCTTCTCCATCATATTTGCAGAATATTGTGCCGTTTGTCGTCCAGACTCTACCATTCTTTCCCATTTTCGTGATAGCATCCTTCAGTAGCTTCAATTTATATTGAGTCAAGTCCTCCCGGATGACCATTCCAGATGATTTTAAGAGCCTTTTATTATCATGGGCGAGCTGTTTATAATACATTGAACTAAATTTAAGTACTATCGGCCTTTTCTTATCTAGTTCATATTGCCCTATTCTAAAGCAGCATTCAATTGCTGGTCGTTCTACATTTATTTTCATTTTATCCCTGAGGATTAGGAGGATCCTATGCAGACAATCTTCACTGGGGTCCTCAGAAACACCATAAATGCGCAAAGTCTTACGCTTGCAATACTGCTCTTGCTTGTCTTGATTTGAGATTATTTTCTCAATCGCCTCTCCGTGAGTTTTGAGCTGTGAGGCAACTTCTTTGTTTCGTTGCTTTAAAGAGTCAATATCCTTTTTCACTTCTTCACTTATTACCTTCGTGATTGAGGTAGCAATCTGACCAATAAAATCTTCAGATGAGCAAATCTTCGAGACTAAATCCTTGACAGTTACGAGCAATTCATCCTCGCCTCGCCTGTTACCTTGCCTGGTATTGCTCATAATGGAAAAAAATAAATTCAGACTATACTATCAAGCAATGCACCAATCACAATAGCACAACAACTGCTCAGTAGGCAATCACTAGCACAAACCACTTGGAAAGAATCAAAAATATAATAGCACAATTTCTCATCAGAAATTCAATTTTTGCAGCAGCACAACATACGTGCGTCTATTCCATAGCGTGGTCGACAGTTGTATCCGAGAAATGAGTTTAACTAATTTTAATTTACAAATAGATTATGTAAACAATTACATCAAAATGATCTTCCCAAAAATACATTCTTGGATCTGTAAATAAACTATAGGCATCAGCTCTCCTTGCAAGTTGTAACCACTTTCGTCGACTTTTTTCATTATTTGATATATACAGTGAAATTCATAAGCCACTGTCGTCGTAACGTGTACGAGAGAGCGAGAACCGTGCAATATGTGTCAGAGAGAGATAGAAGCACCTCGTTGCCTAGCAACCTGAGTGACGAGGCCACGGACACAGCCGAGGATTGCCGCGTTGCCGTCGACGAACTCGTTCTAACATACATATTGCACGCTTCTCTATCGTACACATTACGAATTCAGCCAAATTTGAATTTCACCGTATGAATAATTTGTTTGGCGTTTGTATAATTTCATTTCAGATTGGGGTACATTAGAGCATTTATAATACGAGTCATTCATTTTTTATTAAAGAAAACGAACAAAACTAACTACAGCTTGTACACAACGGCAAGTTTTATAGTGAGGTTCGTTTTGCTTGGCACGGCGAGACGTCACAGGAGACGCTATGACAGTTTGGAGCGTTTTTGAGGTATATTTTTGAAAAATCAAAATACATAATGTAAAAGTTAGATTTTTTGGGAAACAGTTTTCTTTGGCTTGTTTCAATATTATGGTATATCATTGAGCAATTTTTCAAATTTCGTCAACTAGCCTATTAACGATCGAATTACTTACCTTCACCGCTGTCTCTTCACTTTTCTCCATCGCATCGACCGGAGTGGGCGTGGAGGTCCGCAACGTCTCCATAGCAGTGATTTTCTGCTGAGCATCCTGGAACACGTCGTCGCTCTGGGAAAAGTTATCATCGAATCTGGCCGAACTGAAATCGGCCCAACCGCCAAACTCGGGCGAAGCCGTTACGACTACTTCCGTGGAATATGGTGGTACGAACGAGGTGGCGCTTCGCGTGCTTCCGAAGTCTGTCCCCCAGGGGTCGACGTTTGTCGCTACCGGATCGGAAGCGCTGCCATCGGCCGCTGAAAGTTTTGGTGAAGACCATGCTGGAAAATATAATAGTAATTTAGAAACGAGAATCCGAAATAAAATTTTGAGTACCCAATTAAGGCAGCATGGAACGATATGTAATTTGGCATGATACATTTGTATGGCAACTAGCAAAAGTAAGTGCGGTTATGTAAAATGAATGTTGTCAGATCCATACTAGTAATGTAATACCTGACACTTTTCCTGTGGTTTTCATGCTGACAGAACTCCATGATCTCATGGCCAAATAAGCTTATGTTCACTAGAAATACTTCTGGTGGACGATAGCCTCTAATGATTAATAATGATTTGGAGATAACAGAAAACAATATCATTCATCATAAAAACTATAGGTTCTTATTTTTACAAGATAAAATTAAAAAAAAATGGTCATGTAGTCCCTTGACACGAAACATCAATCAGAAAGCGTTACTTCATGCAGTGTCGTACATCTTGTTGACATTTTTCTACAGAGAACATGTTATCACGCTATCAGATATTTTTGTGTTTTAGCGGTTTTTGTGACTTGAATGTATCTTGAAAACAATTTACTTAAAACCGACGCCCTTATGCTGGGAAAATGTTTCGAATCCAACAGTGTTTTGTGTTCATTGGAAGTCTGTAAAACTTCAATGCAAGTATAGACAAGTTAAAAAATATGATTTACGGTAAAATGGTATTATTTCAGTTTTGTAGACAATAAACTTTTACTTTGGCATACATATACCGTATTTCACAAGTACCCATCACGGTAGAATGACAGCTGATTATCTAGTAATATCTCAAAATTCGCTATATAGCCACAGGACACATAATCCTGACGGATCCGTCAAAGACAGTTAGTCAGAGCCGTATTTTGTTTTGGGTCTTTGACCTGGGTTTCAAATTTCTTGGTGATAGAGAAACCATTAATACTTTGTTCAACAGAAACACATGTAACAGAAGATATTAAGGAGGGAGAGATCGATATTCACGGCTATCAAGTTGTAAGAGTAAACTCTGCTTCGAAGCATACAGGTGGTATGTATATTGATATACAGGGTGTAAACGTTATACGTTTAAACCCTGTATACACTACGAGCCCCTTCCCACTTCAGTTGGCCCAACTGTTGAAATCTTAGTTTTTTCTTATCAAACACAAATAATAAAAATGTAGCAGGGTGTTATAGGTTTAAAATATTAACAATGAATATTTTGATAATATATAGTAGAAAACACCAACTTTATCACTCCCTAATCAAATTTGCAGCATAAAAATAACATGTTGCAATTACAGCATATCAACCTATTTTAATTTCAATGCAAAATAAGTCTATAACGCATAGGTGGCTGAGAAAAATAAAAGCCATGACAATTGTTGTCAGAATACGTTTAAAATAGTTATTTGAGGTTTTCAAAATGGGTGGAGGAAAGGTTATTAGTGAGAAAACTCGGTTACTGATGATTAAATTTTTTAATTCTGGGAAATCAAACTCAGAAATTGCAACTTTGTTAGACTTATCGCGGTACAGTGTGAGAAATATTGTTAGAAGATATAACGTAACTGGTTCAATTAATATTAAGCCGCGTTATGTGAAAAAAAGTAATATCACAAATGCCGACCGAAGAGCATTAAGAAGAATAATCGTGAAAAACAGGTGTGTCAATTATTTACAATTAAGTGCTCTGTGGATGGACGCTATTGGAAGGAGAATTTCGAGGTCCACAACTCGTAGAGAGGCCCACAAACTGGGATTTAGCACTTGCAAGGTAAGTTTTCTTATAAAAAAAAGTGAAGTAAAAACCCTAAAGTTGCACAACTTGTTTATAGGCCACAGAAAAGCCACTATTAACTCCACTGCAAAAGAAAAATCGGCTTAAATGGGCTAAAGAACATAGACAATGGACACCTCAACAATGGTGCGCAATACAATGGAGTGATGAGGCCCGATTCGAAGTTTGTGTTGGTGACAGTCGCAGTAGAGTTATTCGCAAAAAAAATGAATCATTCCATGTTGACTGTCTGAAGAGAAAAGTGAAATTTCCAGCATCCATTATGGTCTGGGGCAGTATGTCATCAAAAGGAGTAGGAATACTTCACTTTATTGATGGAATTGTGGATACAAACAAATATTTGGCAATTTTAGAAGAATCGCTTTTACCAGTGATGGAAGAATGTTTGACATCCGGCCAAGATTTTGTGTTTCAGCAAGATGGGGCAGCGTGCCATACCTCAAAAAAGGCTATAAAATGGATGGAAGAAAATAATGTACCACTTTTGAAATGGGTTTCTAGCAGTCCAGATCTGTCACCTATTGAAACTTTGTGGAACGAGATGAAAAAGGTTCTACGACAACATCCTGCTCGTACAATCACCGAACTGAGACAAAAGCTTCAAGAAATATGGGATTGTTTTACACCAATTTTTTTCCAAAACTTGGTTAACACTATACTCCAAAGAATTTCAGCCGTAATAAAAAATAAAGGTGATGTTATCCAATGGTAATCTTTCAATTGTTGCTTTGTTAACTTCGCGCATTTATTCGCACATTGTTTATTTGTTCAGATGTTCTATTAGTTATAGGTCTAAGTGATCAAATATGTATTTTTTACGACTAGAGTGTATCTAAAATGTTTTTGAGAAAATAAATTGTTTTAGAAGTAAATAGTTTCGTCATGTTTAGTTTATAAAGGCATATTTTGGTACAATCTTGAAGTGGGCCAACTGAAGTTCGAAGGGGCTCGTATATAGCATTGAAGTCAACGTACAGAACATTGAAGTTGTTGAATATCAGTAGTGGTACACCAATCTTCAAATAAGGATACAAAAAATACGATCTGTATATTTATTACCTCTCCAAGTGGAAGCATCAATCGATTTATTGAATTTTTTGAAAGTATATGTGAAAAACATTATTACAGGAATTGCATAAATGTACATTTTCAATATAAAGTTTGACAGTGAAGATTTCTGTGTTACAGAATTTAAACAAGTGCTAAACTTCCATGGATTATGGCAGAAAATAAATGACTACACAAGCATTACGAACTTATCGAAAACAAAAATAGATTTGCTCATAATTAATGAACAAAATCTAATTGCTGAAGTTAAGCATACCCCAAAGATAAGTAATCACTCATTGGATATATTTCGAAGTGGGAAATGTGTTCAATGAAAATAAAATGAAAGTAATTACAGTCATTGAATTCACAAAATTACGACAAAGACAACACAATATACCTGAAATTATCGATAATGCTGACAACTACTTCGAACAAATTATGAATAATATAGATAAATATACAGGGTGGCGCATTGAAAACAAAACAGACGCATTTACTGGCAGCTCAGTTTTTTTTTTTGAAAAACGCGCTCAGACCCGTCGATTTTGTTTTCGAGGGGGACACAAGTTTGGCAAAAAATCACGTTAGCACGTGCAGCCCCCTAAGCGGGGGTAACACCGCCCCCAAAATCTTAAATGGAAAGGGGGGTCGAGTGATATCTTATTTTAAAGGTCTTTCAATTCCCGTTACAATGATATAAAATTAATGTACTTCACTTCAGTAGTTTTGAAGATTTATTGATTTAAAGCTTAAATAAAACCAATACATCATCATTATTGGAGATCGATACATTTGGCAGCAAACATTTAATTTTTGTGGCTGCTGTGTATGAACCTCATATAAATTCTGGGATTAGAATCGGACCAATATCGGCTGTTATGACGATTTACTACGCCATTTAAGAAAAAGGAACATTCGTCGGAAAAGCAAGTGTTGAATAGAAAATGTTCATCGTTTATAATTCGTACACTCATATCTTCACAGAATTGTAATCTCCGATCAAAATCGTCTTCATTAAGTTCTTGTACCAGGTGAATTTTATACGGATGAAAACTAATGGGCCTTTAGAATCCGTTGAACAGCACGTCGACTAACACCACACACAGTCTCCAATTTGCGGGTACTTAACGTTGGATCTACATAAACTTGCCCTAAAACCCCCACTTCTATTGCTTCGTTCCTTATGGGATTTTCAATGTTGCGTTTTTTATTGGCGACTGACCCAGTTTCCCGAAATTTATCTACAAGTTCTAGAACATATTTTCGATGCACGTTACTGTTCTCATGTCGCTCATTAAATATTTCTGCTGTTCTATTAGCGCACTGATTATTTCCGAAAAATATTTCGATAATTGCAACTCTTTCTGCTGTGGAATATACCATGGTTAATTTATGTAATAAAGCGTTACAAGTTATTTTAGCAACAAAGTTTGGTCAAATCAATCGCAAACTATGTACTAAATTCCTATTTAAAATAAGTACGAGATATTTCCTTATCTTTTTCAAGAAATAACTTTTTTGACACAAAATAACGCTCCAATAGCTATTTTCAACAACAAAATGGTAAACAAACCATAGCCTTTACAAAAAACTACAGCTCGGATTGCCTTCAACATTTTATCAGCGTATACTTCCATGATAGCAGATATGTTTATACAAGTTTTAATTAAAATTCAATAAATAATCTTGGTTGTTGCATTTTATATGTCACAGTATACTTACTGTACTTGAATGTTTTGCAAACACAAGTAATAATATTCTACTCACGATCAACGTCCATTCCAGCGTCCTCTGCCTCCTGGTCATCCCTCGGCAGATCCTCATCGCTGTCACTCCCGTACTCGCCCGTCTCGTCCTTTTTCTCAATCACCGTTCTGAACGTATTCTCGGCTGCAGCATCGTCGAAGGCATTGTCATCGCCATCGTCGAAGGCATTAACAGTCTGAGCGCACACGCGTTTGAACATCTCCTGCTGCCGGCCGAGTTCAGACTCGGAGGAGAGGTCGAACGAGGTGTCTGTGCGGTGATCGATCGTTCTGAATTAAAAAAAAAAACGTGAAAAACTGGGGAAAGAGGTATCAAGTTTTTTAATCATTTCCGAAAACTGGGAAGAGGAAGACGCACGGAGCTTACGAAAATTCCAATGCTTATTCCAAAATTGTAACTCGATAAGGAAAGTTTTTGACAAATACGGATAAGTTAGAAGGAGCCAAGTCCGTGTTTCGTAAAAGTCACCAATAGATAACATTTAGTAATAAGTTTGTCTGTTAGCGACTACGTCACCTAAGTTGCAATTAATAAGGGTGCGAATGATCCGATCGTGGTCCTTTACACAGGGTGTCCCAGATAAAAGCTTAGTTCCTTGGGGCGTATTTACCGTTGAGAAACTTGTTAGCATTTCTTGGCTTACTCAGATATTTGGGAAAACTAAAATTTGAGCAAATCCGACTGACACATTGACTGAATAAAAACATTGTGATCAGCGTTTCAAATTCTTTCACTTTTTTGTTTCCGAAGCGATGAACTGATAAGGCGGAGTATATTCGTAGTTGCCAAATACGAGCACATAATATTATTATTGAGACAGGGCGGTACTCAAACTTCTAAAGGGCTATAACTTTGTTACTTTAATTTTACCACAAAAATGTTAAAGGAAAAAAACATTTCTTTTGATCAGATCTACTCACTGTTAAAATAAATGACTCAACTTCGAAGTCACCCTGTATACATATATACATATATATACACATATATACATATATACCCATACATACCGCATAAACAAACGCCAATATGAGCGACAATTAAGTTTGAAAAAAAGAGCAAAGAGAAAACGTGGTGGTAAATGTAAAAGTCTAGAATGATATACAAATACATATACGTACATTTATGCATCATATGAAAAAAAATATAAATAAAATAATGGAATGCAAACAAAATAAAATTGAAATTCCGCGGTAACAGTAATTCTACTTTATACATTCAAGGTAAGAATCACGCAAAACCGCTTTGAACTTGTGAATTTCATATGATTTGAGGTACTGGGGGATAGGATTGTATAGCTTATATATATTATACGTAAATGATCTTTCATAAAATTTAGTTCTGTGGAATGGAACGGTAATGTTTTGTTTCGAACGAATATTTACGGAATGGATGTCTTTTCTGAATTTTCTCGTAGAGGTAATGAGGCTGCCTGAAAGTTAAAATTTTATGATAAAAGCATATTGTAAATATCTCAAAACAAGCCTTCATATTTAGCCACCGGAGTTCTTTCAGCTTATGACTAACTCTTTCAAATTTTTTTATGCCATATATAAAACGTAAGCATGAGTTCTGTGTTCTCTGTATTCGCATGAATGTATCACAATCTAAACATGCAGAATAAATTGGAACACAGTACGAAAACTGTGATAAAACCAAGGTTTCGCAAAGAATTCTTTTGATGTCTAAATTGAGAAAATTTCGGTGAGGATATAATAATTTTAGAGCCAGATAAGATTTTTTGATACAGTTTGATATGTATGTGCTCACGAAACCTCAGATTATAATCCATTGTTAAGCCTAAGTTTTTAACTTTATCACAGTATTTTAATCTAATATTATTTATGGTTATATTTAAATTCTCAATCACATAAGAACGGTCTTTACCAAAGATCACAGCAGCTGATTTATTTGGATTTAATATTAATGAATGCTCTTGTAATCTTTTAGAGAGGTTAGTCAAGTCACTGTTTATTTTCAACTCGGCAGCTGGCCAATCTGAACTAGGAAAAGAATAGTACAGCTGGGTATCATCCGCATAAACGTGTGACTTACAGAATTCCAAACATTTAAGGATCTGACTGGTATATATAGTGAAGAGCAATGGTCCAAGTATAGATCCTTGTGGTACACCTGTGGTAGTGGGCTTTGAACTAGATATTTCATTCTTCAGTTGTACACACTGTGATCTGCCACTTAAGTATGAATTAAAAAGTTTTACGCTGTCAGTAGACAATCCACATGACTTTAAGATAGACAGCAAGACATCATGGTTAATTGTGTCAAATGCCTTGCTGAAATCTAATAGTATTAAAGCGGTGGACTCACCCAGATCACTCGACTGAATGATATCATCAGTTATTTTAGCAAGTACAGCGGTGCAACAGTATCCTGGATGAAAACCTGACTGTGTTTTAGGAAGGATACTTTGACTTTCAATATGTGTTCTTAATTGTATTTCAATAATTTTTTCAACCAATTTCGAGAGACCAGCTAGAATACTTATTGGACGAAGATCTGATAGATGTTTAGCTTCCTTACATTTTGGAATTGGCACTATTAAGGCCACTTTCCAGCACTTTGGATATTGTCCCTCAAGAAAAATTGTATTAATAAGATGTACCAAATATGGTAAAATATACGGGATACACAATTTGACGAGATGTATGCTAATGCCATCATTACCTGGTCTGGTGTTTTTTATCCTACTTAATGCGTCAAATACATCTTGCTCAGATACCAATTTGAAATTGAACTCTAAATTACATATTTTGTTTTGATCATAATATATAGCAATATGATTACCAGACGCCACACGAGGTATGCTGTCAATAAAAAAGTTATTTATATGTTCCACATCTTGCAAATCAATAGGAATATTTGACTTCTGTGACTTAATACTAAGCGAATTAAGTTCTCGCCACAAAGATTTCTTATCCTTACTCTGAGCAATTTTATCAAAATACTTTCTTTTTTCATGTAGAATCGCATGATTGGTTTTGTTTTTTAGTTTTTTATATGCATTCCAATTTGAATCGTTCGGATTTTTTCTATACTTAGACCTCGCTGCATCCCTACTACACATCAAATTCCTTATATCATCCTTCAGCCAGGGAGCTTTAGGTTTAGTGATTTTGGACGTTTTCAAAGGAATGTGCTTGTTAAACAAAGTTAGAATTAAATGGTTGAACAAGTTCACCTTTTCGTCAATATTTGACAAGTAACATATGTCAATTAAGGGAAGATTTTGCAAATCAGCATGCAATTTATCAATTTCAAGACTCCTAAAGCTCCGATAAGTGTAAAAGAGTGGTTAAATTTCTTGTCTATCTTGTAGTACCTTACACGAAATCAGTTCATGATCTGTTAAATCTAATCCGCCAACGTGCTTAGATTCGATCATTGAAGGATCGTTGCAAAGAATAACATCTATTATATACAGGGTGACTTTGAAGTTGAGTCATTAATTTTCAGATAATGATTGTAGAAGGAAGATAAACCAAAATATGTGTGTAAAAATAAAAAAAAATTAAAAAAAAAATTACCTTGTTTTATAAAGTATCCTCCCGACAAGTATTTCAGTGCGGACCTGTATTTGATCGTGAGGTCTTGGAGCACCGGCATGCCGTCCATATGTGAGGTCTTAAGTCAAATGATTCACGAACCCGTTGTACTACATTAACAAAGGCACGAGGGGTTGGTTGCACTCGATTGGGAAACCGATCCGCATAAACATGTGCCATTTTTTATTTCGTTTGAGCCACGCAACAGACACCACTATCCACTACCGACTGACACTGACTGTATACAACTGAATGAAATAATTGTAAAAACATCGTTCCAAATTCTTTCGCTTTTTTGTTTCCGATGCGATGAACCGATAAGGCGAATTATATCCGTTGTCGCCAAACACGAGCACATAATATTATTATTGAGACAGGGCGGTACTCAAACTTCCAAAGGGCTATAACTTTGTTACTTTAATTTTACCAGAAAAATGGTAAAGGAAAAAAACATTTCGTTTGATCAGATCTACTCACTGTTAAAATAAATGACTCAACTTCGAAGTCACCCTGTATATATATAAAATTATTAATGAATATTTTGATAATATATAGTAGAAAACACCAACTTTATCACTCCCTAATCAAATTTGCAGCATAAAAATAACACATGTTGCAGTTACAGCATATCACCCTATTTTCATTTCAATGCAAAATAAGTCTTATAACGCATAGGTGGCTGTGAAAAATAAAAGCCATGACAATTGTTTTTATTAATCACGGCTGTCATAATACGTTTAAAATAGTTTTGGGTAGTTAAGGTTTTCTAATATTGGGTAGAGGAAAGGTTATTAGTGAGAAAATTCGGTTACTGATAATTGATTTTTTTAATTCTGGGAAATCAAATTCAGAAATTGCAACTTTGTTAGACTTATCGCGGTACAGTGTGAGAAATATTGTTAGAAGATATAACGTAACTGGTTCAGTTAATATTAAGCCACGATATGTGAAAAAAGTAATATCACAAATGCCGACCGAAGAGCATTAAGAAGAATAATCGTGAAAAACAGGAGTGCCAATTATTTACAAGTAAGTGCTCTGTGGAGTGACACTGTTGGAAGGAGAATTTCGAGGTCCACAGCTCATAGAGAGGCCCAGAAACTGGGATTTAGCACTTGCAAGGTAAGTTTTCTTATAAAAAAAAGTGAAGTAAAAACCCCACAACTTGTTTATAGGCCAAAGAAAAGCCACTAATAACTCCACTGCAAAAAAAAATCGGCTTAGATGGGCTAAATAACACAGACAATGGACACCTCAACAATGGTGTTCAATACAATGGAGTGATGAGGCCCGATTCGAAGTTTGTGTTGGTGACAGTCGCAGTAGATTTATTCGCAAAAAAAATGAAGCATTCCATGTTGACTGTTTGAAGAGAAAAGTGAAATTTCCAGCATCCATTATGGTCTGGGGCAGTATGTCATCATAAGGAGTAGGAAAACATTTTATTAATGGAAATGTGGATACAAACAAATATTCGGCAATTTTAGAAGAATCGGTTTTACCAGTGATGGAAGAATGTTTGACATCCGGCCAAGATTTTGTGTTTCAGCAAGATGGTGCAGCGTGCCATACCTCAAAAAAGGCTATAAACTGGATGGAAGAAAATAATGTACCACTTTTGAAATGGGTTTCTAGCAGTCCAGATCTGTCACCTATTGAAACTTTGTGGCACGAGATGAAAAAGGTTCTACGACAACATCCTGCTCGTACAATCACCGAACTGAGACAAAAGCTTCTAGAAATATGGGATTGTTTTACACCAAATTTATGCCAAAACTTGGTTAACACTATGCCCCAAAGAATTTCAGCCATAATAAAAAATAAAAGTGATGTTACCAAATGGTAATCTTTCAATTGTTGCTTTGTTAACTTCGCGCATTTATTCGCACATTGTTTATTTGTTCAGATGTTCTATTAGTTATAGGTCTAAGTGATTTCAAATATGTATTTTTCACGACTAGAGTGTATCTAAAATGTTTTTGAGAAAATAAATTGTTTTAGAAGTAAATAGTTTCGTCATGTTTACTTATAAAGGCATATTTTGTTACAAAGTGGGCCAACTGAAGTGGGAAGGGGCTCGTATATATGTGTATATAAAAGCAATATTGATATCAAAAGTGTGGCTAGATCTGTTTAACATAGAATGTGTTGTTCCTTTCTTTGTATGCCCTGTATAGTTTTTAAAAGTTAAAAGCATAATCTGTACCTGTATGTTTTACTGCGAATGCCTGTGGTGTTCATCATATGTATACTTTCTCTGTCTACCTCATTTATTTTGACATATGTAATTACATATTGTTTAATACCAAATTCAATTATTCGCTTATTTGGGTGCTCCCCTCCAGTGATTGAGTCGAGTAGCTGTCAGCTAGACTTCGCCACTAGTATTATATATATTTTTTTTATTATACTGAATTTTCTTAGGAAATAAAAGACGGTTTATTATTATTATTATTATTATTGTACACAGGACCGCATTTTATTTTAAAGGGGGTCTTCTATGTAACATTTTTCCTCGAGGGCTTCATTAAAAAGATACGGGGAGGTGTTGAAGTTCAAAATTAAAGACATTTTTTTTATATCCTCAAAACCGTCAACTGGAATGAACCAAAATTTGGTATGATGATTTACTTAAGTATTGTCCACATTCAAAAGTCTTTACTTAGAGTAAAATTTAAGGTAAAATTCGAAAAATTGCAGTACTATTTTTATTTGGAAAAATAATGCCACTAATCCCCTGAATCTCCGCCATTGGTGCACGTTAATTTTAACTAAAGACTTTTGAATGTGGAGAATACTCCACATACCAAATTTTAGTTCATTCCAGTTGAGAGTTGTAAAACCATAATCGAGGATATCTTGAATATTGTACTTACTGTAAAGTATCGTCTCCATCATTGAAGTTATCATCGTTGAATCCACTATATCCATCAATATAGGAAGCCAAATTTTGTACTTGATACTGAGAGTACAACTGAAAACAAAGAATATTTTAATATTCCACGCAACAAAAACATCCATTAAGAACACTGACCTGTTGCTGTGTAGCTGACGGCTGCGGAAAAGGTATGTCTCCGTAACTGTCACTACTTTCAACTGCAACGTCTGGATGAACGCCTCCCTACAAATATAGAAAAGTATTAATTTAACAAATATCAATTTCACTTTGGCGATTTGTATAAAGCAAAACGCGTTAGTGTATTTCCTTTCCAATATTACGAAACTGCACAAGTACTGAACTAGTAACACAGCACAAAGTGCCATGCATTACCAGAATCGACCAGTGCTTGAGTGAAATAGCAGCATCTTATGCACAACTATTATAATGTAAATAGCGAATTTATAAAAGTGACGAGGCATCAACGGCCGGCCGTCAAGCATATAGGCAGCGCGGTGACGTAGTGATAGATGCTACGTGTCTACTATCAATCGCTGCGAGCTGCACGGGTTCGAGTCCCGTTCCAAGAGAATTATTCTCTTGGCTATGGATCTTGTGGTTGTGGTAGACGGTCTCTGACTATCGAACGTGGAGGTACTACCCGGCGGATCTCTAAGGCGGGGGCCACAATGTGTGCTTATCGCATGCACACCTGTTCCCTCGCTAGAGTCCGTGTGACGTCCCCCCTTACGCCTATCGTCCAAAGCTACCCACGGGTATTTAGGCCTTAGGCATTCAGCAGTTGCATTGTAGCTTGAATTGTTGATTTTTTTGTTACCGTGTGATATCGCTTGTTGCTATTAACACATTGAGTGCGAGCCTAAGAAGCTCAAGGATATAAATATTTTATTTATTTCGATGCATTTCGTACTAGACAAACCTAATATAATTTAACACAGAACTGGACAGCGGTAAATAATAAGTTTAAAATAGAGTAAGTCCTAATGACTCACACGGCATCATTCAAATACAGGGTGGCCGATATGTAACTGTTTGGTTTGTATCTTGAATAATTGTGAAATGAAATAAAATGCGGCCATTTTTTTTTCATCTCAATCTTTTATTGAAACTTAGAAATTATGTATGAACAATAATGTCAGACAACGTTCGCCTCTAGAAACCGCGCAAACCTGAGCCATCTTGATTACATTTTGGATATTAAGCTGCAATATTGGATGACTGTATTTCATGGTCACTAGGCTGTAGTTCTTGGGTTAACTGAATTTTGTATGGCTGCAAATGCAAATCTTTTTTAAAATAGTGCGTAATGTCTTGCCACGAATACCCAGCTCTTGAGAACGATGTCTGGTAGACGTCTCAGGGCGCTCCACTACACTTTCACGAGCTCTCTCGATATTTTCCGGAGTACGAACAGTTAAAACACCTTGGCAAATCTTTAACTTCACCTGTTTGTTCAAATTTCTGCACCAACTGACGAATGGTGTTGACACTGAGCATATTATTTCGACCGAAATCTTGTAGCTTCCGAATCGACTCATTATTTAAGTGAAAAGTTTTAACAATACGGACGCGATGTGGTATCGTGTAGCGCTCATGATGAATTGGACACATGTGCTTTAAACAGCTACTACGACGCCACCTACTGAAATGCGTGTATAAAAAACCCTGTAGTTCAGTGGCAGTTAGCAGTGACTGACAAAGCGGTCAGTGTGTTGAAATCGAAATAATCTCTTGATCCATGTTTAATTTGTTTGATGAGTGATTATTTTGTACTATTTATAAATCATACAGGGATAGGCCATGTCATAATAGTTATCAGAGAAATATAAAAAATTAAAGTCGTGTACTTGGACGCTTTGTAAAAATCTGAAAAATCTACACCCTGCGATAATCTTTTAGTGTCCATTACTACAAATTTAAGTTTTTTTCTTAGACGCAGTGATGGACAGTCTCATTCTATGTAGTAACAAGACTCGTTGGACAAGACAGATACTCGTAGTAACGCCATTGTTATTACTTCATGATTGTGTAGCGCCACCATGTTCTGTACACCGCACAGGAATACGCCAACATGCACCTCATTATGCGGATGTAGATGCTATGCTAGTGCTGCAGATAGGCTCCATCGTGAGAGATACCCAAACGGTGCTCGTCATAGCGATCACCGAGTTTTTGTGAATGTGCACCGTTTGCTCTCAGAGGAACGATTCCTAGATCAAGCACATGGTGAAGGAAGAATTTCCATTTACTAATTTGTGAATGTGTTTATTAAATTCACAATAAATGTTCAAACAGCCTTTCTTCAGCAGCAATGTAAGCTTGACATTGAAAATTATCGGGTTATCAGACGAGCGAATCTTCCCTTATTAACAAATTCAGCTGCTTCCGTTATTCTGTACTGTAGCTCAGCTAAATTTTCGATTGGCTTTGAGTAAACTGATTCTTTCACCGCTCCCCAGTAAAATAAATCGAGTGGATTCAAGTCAGGCGAACGGGCTGGCCACGAAATTGTACCAGACCGCCCTATCCATCTTCTCGGGTATTCCGCATCAAGATATTATCTAATTGAACGAGCATAATGCACCAGGCAGCCGTCTTGCTGGTACCACATGTCTCTGTAAATGCTTAGTGGCACGTCTTCAAATGAATTTGATAAATGATTCTATAAAGACCTAATAAATTTCGTCATTCAAGAACTCATGTCAGCTTGAAGGGTACAATCATTCTCCCATTCAGAATCCAGGTCCACGATACTGTGATCTATCTTGCCTCATCAAATGTGGATTTTATACAAGCCACTAGTTTAAGTTGTGAAGATTCATGTAACCAGATAATAGATAATCCCGCTGTTAGAGATTGTACTCGCTGTCGTGGTACGGGTGGAGTTCGTTCGATACAGGATGTAGATTTTTCTGATTTTTTTAACGCCCATAATTTGAAAGGTACACGACTTGGATATTTTTTAATATTTTCCTGATAACTATTATGATTTGGCCTAGTCCCCGTTTCCGGCAGGACTTCGACTTCTGGGATGCCCTCTATAAAGGAAATAGGGAAATCAAGATCATTCATAGTAATAATGTACCGTGCCACATACAACTGTGCTACGGATTGCCGAGATGTTCAAGAAATCGCGACGGTACAGCGGAGATGTTCATGATTCCGAACACCTTAAAGCTGGCAACGGACGGTGAGCGATAATATAATATATATTATAGTCGTACAACACAAATATATTATATTATATTATGACTGCAACGGACGACAGAATATATATTTTCATATCTTTCTAACAGTGTTGCCGACTTCTTAGTATTTGTGAGTAGGCTGATCTGCTGATCTGTGCTGAACACAGTGTATTTAATTAACCAGTGTTTCATTATTTAATTGTGGTGTTCATTCAAAATGTCTAAGAGGCTTAATGACTTGCTAATACTAGACACAATCGATAGCTCATCAGAAGATAAAGCAAATGCCGAAAACGATTACCTCTCAGCAGTGATTGCTTCTAATCAAAAAGAAAACCCTAGATACTGGTTATCTAACCATATCAAGTTTCGGAAGAAACGAGGAGCATTTACACTGTTCAAAGACTTAAGTGATGAAAAATTCGCGTATTATTTCCGAATCGATACAAAAATTGTTTATGAATTGCATGATATGATAAGGGAAGAATTCTGTAGATATTTTGATACGTATGGAAGGGTTCCTTGGCAACAAACCCGTGTGTCGAATTGATTCGCGACATGGACATTATATTTCTAATAATTCCCTTTGTTTTGTAATTAAATAAGGTTTTTCTAAGGTTGGGTCAAGTTTTTTTTACCGTAAAAGTGAAATGTAGCACAGTCTAAAATCCCTCAAACTCTTTTGGACATTTCTACTTATAGTAGGGGAGCTCACGATGCTAAATGGGGAGTCAGTCAAAAAGATCTACCTTAGCTTATATGTATATGATAGAGGTGCTTCAAGAAGGGCACAAGGTATCCCCCATGTTAATCTGCCGGGCTTGATTAAATTTCAAAATCCCCTCTTGGACCTTCCCTACTATTAGCTTTCAAACTACCTATTTATATAAAAATAAATATGTACAAGTTGAATACATACCGTCGGATATATCGCAATCAGCGATGATAGTCCTCCAAGCTGCTTCTTAAATCTCATTATTTTTATACTCGTTCGAGTCTACCTTCCATAAACATGGATGTTTTCTTACACTTTCAATAAAATACTCCATTTAGTCTATTGCGAATTCCGAAGTGCAAGAACAAATAACAAAGTGGCAACACCGCGCCAAGCCGGCCACCAGAGCGGTACGTGGGCATTTACGGGTGACGCGACGCAAGGGGAGGATAGATATAGCGCGATATAGGGCAGAATATCGCTCGGTAAACATATCCCGACAGATACGTAATATATCACTGGGATATAAATATATCTTATAGAGTCCGTGAGTGGCGGCTCAATACGCTTACACATGGAGCGATATTTCTGTAACATGCAGGATATAATATATATTATATTATCGCTCACCATCCGTTGCCAGCAGTATGATTGGCCGTATGATAAAAGAGTTTCACTAAGGTCTATATAAAACAAGTGTGGATTAGAATAATTACCAGCAATGTGTCCTGAATTTTATTCGTTTCGCTGAGAGTCGTTTCTTTAAATTCGTCTAGAGATTTTGCTACTTCAGGCAACTGTTCTTTGAGGTATTGTCCTAAACACGTACTTGAACACAATTCTACTATACTATTCATCAGACTAATGAGATGGCCCATGTAGCCTTTGCGCAGACCTTTCTCCTGCGCCCTAAAATATAAAATTATGATATTATATACATATTTTATAATAGCATAGGATTTTCTAACAAAGATCGGTGGAATGGAATTTTATTTGAAACGTCCGTAAGTACAGTGAATCTGATATAATGATAAGACATAAATTGTATTTCTTTTTACACATCTGTACGGAGACGATGGTGTAGGTTACATGTAACTTAAACGAGGCTATAAAATATGCACAGTAAAATGTAAAATATGTTCCGGACATAAAGTGAGCTCGAAGCAATACACAGTGTTGCGTATATTATTTCTCCAGGCTCTCAAATCCACTACTTTCCTGGGGTCCTTATCGATGTGTTTTCACATTCTCGAACAGTACAATAACAATAATTACTATATTTTTCATGTAAACTAGTATAAGTCATGTTTATATGTTTGAAAGATTGAGAGGTTATGCTGCTGTCAGATTCTGTTTACAAATAGTATGACGCCAGAGAACAACTACATGCGCCGAACATGACAGACAGCGTTTTCGCCTGTCTAAGAAAAATATTTTCTTAAATTACAGTTTGACGGTCTTTTAGCGCTGAAGAAATATAGTATTAATATTTTTGGACTAACACACCAAATATTGTCTATTCAAGAGATACTTAAAAAAAGTGTCAACTAGCCTTTTGCTGCATACGATTAGGCATCTTCTCGGAAAATATGCTAAAACATGATTTGACATTTAGGCCATAGCTGGATTATGGTTTATTGACATACACCTGTGGCTTCATAAAATGTTACAAGAAAAAGCCAAATATTTTAGCAGACACATCTATTTGAATCAGTATAATTTGCATGTTGATACTTTCTGTTGGTTTATTGATACATAAAATTACTTACTGTTGCTCATCGTTTTCCTTCCAAGCTTCAATAATCCTTTCAATCAATTTACAATTAACTAACAACTGCAAAAACATCATTATCAAATATACACATACACCTATCATATTTCAAAAATAACTTACATGTTTACTTAAGGCATTCAGGCTATCTCCTTTTTCATCACTGTTGTTCGAATTAAGTGCTGATATGAAACAGCTCTTCACTTGTAAGTGCAAGAAGTTGTTCCACTGGTACTTGAAAAGCAACTCCAACAGGACGTTCATAGTACCGCAAGATTCGATTTCTTTCAGTACTTCTTCGTTTTCAGTGGTTACTAGTGCCGCGAAAAGTCGCGTGACCTGTAACCGCGTGTTACCTAAAGGCGGATCTAGAAGGCCTACTGTTGTCAGGATAGGTTGTTGCTAAAGAAATATAAAGAATGTTAATAAAATATCTGTTCCAACTTCCAGGTCTGATTTCTTTGATGATTCAAAAAAGTTAATACAAACGTAGGTCCGATAATGCTTCGTTTTAGAGAGACATCACCATTTTTGGAATTTTTTTTTAATGTCTTTCACCGAATACTTGGGGCAGACGTATCGGCAACAATTTACTAATTAGAAATATTGTTATATAAAAAAAAACGGCTACTAAAATCACAAATTGTAGGTGCCATCCAGAATAATGAATTTAAATAATTTCCTTTGAGGGATTTGGGCTTTATCGGCACGTTTTACTTATTCGACTTAATCTTAATCTATATTTTCGGAGACTTTTGTACTCTCTACCTCATCAATTTTAAAAAAATAAACAAAAATAAACACATAATAGGGTTAATACTATTTTTACGAAAAATGAGTTTTAAAATTAAAGTTTAATGTGCGGAATTCTGAAATATTACCAGACCTATGTTTATATGGATCTCCCAAAAAATCCCCAATGAAGTGTGCTCAGGTCCTTTATTACACAGTATTAATTGTTACATCTGAAACTCATCCTGTGGTTTTCATGCTCCTGGAACTCCATGTTTTTCTAGGCAATTGAAGCCACATATGCAGAAATTACTCATTATTGACGTTTCGGCCACAATATCGATCATTTCTACAGTTTCACAGTTTTTGGCGGTTAATAATAGAACCGTAGCGGACAAAAGTTTGGAAACAAATATTAACATTATTGTGAACTATTTCATATATGGTACAAACCTAAATTAAAATTGTGAAGGAACAGATAATATAAATATTAAAGTCTACTTTTGGCTCCCGTACTAATGCAGGATGGGCCATAAAGGTGTTGGCAATTTCAATATTCAATTAAAAAATAACTACGCAATATAAAAGAAAAATAAATGTATTTTTAAAAAGTAGAAAGATAAGAATTTTTAAGACCTAAAAATAATGTTGTTCAAATGACTTCCTTCAGCTGCTTGGCACTCTTGAAACCATTGCTGCAGATTTTGGAAAACTTGTTGAAAAGTTGTTCTCGGTATTTTGTTACTTTTCTGAACAATATTCCTCTTCAACGGCTCTAAATTAGTTGGATTATTCTCGTAGACTACCGATATGAGGTAGCCCCATAGGAAATAATCGCATGGAGAAAGATTGGGGCTACGTGGTGGCCATTCAATATCCCCCCTTTTCGAAATGAGTTTTCCGGGAAAGACATTTTCCAGCAGCTCTATAGATACCTTAGCTGTATGACACGTGGCCCCATCTTGTTGAAACCACATTCTAGAGGTATTGCCTTGGAGTTCTTGCAAAGCTGGCACCAAAAAGTCTGTTATCATATTGCAATAATTGTTAGCTTTAACTGTCATCGTTTGCCCTCTTTCGTCCTCAAAAAAGTACGGTCCAATAATACCGGTTGACGTAATTTCAGCCCACACGACTAGTTTAGGACTGTGAAGTGGACGTTCATGCAAGCGTCGGGCATTAGTTTCAAACCAGAACCGACAATTTTGTTTGTTAACATGGTCCATTGAGGTGAAAATTGGTCTCATCACTAAACATCAGGTTGTTAAAACTGTTGAATCGGTCGAGCATCAAATTGACAAAGCTAAGTCGGTTATTGACATCATCTGGTTTTAAAGCTTGGATTAGTTGAATCTTATAAGCCTTCAAATGCAAATCACGCTTCAAAATTCGCCGCAAGCTCGTTCTTCTGATGTTCAAAGCCTGACTTCTCTTACGTGTTGACTGTTGCGGACTAAAACACGAACACGCTCTGCATTGTCGGCTGATCTTGCAGAAACTGGAGGACCACGAGCTGTTATTGCTACTATCGAGCCGGTTGTTTCGAACATTCTGATCCATTTCCGTATCACAGTGGCGTTTGGAACTTCTCTTAAATCGCGTAAGCCGTGTTCATGTGGATACAAACATATAGTAATAATCGATTCATTATTTTCATAATATGCTCGGACACAAAATGCACGCTGCGCTCCCGTGTACGGCTCCATGGCGACAAAATTTCCAGGCAACGGCACGGCTAGCAGCTTATCCTCCCAACCCACGCCCCTTCCGAGAAATTTAAGATTTAAGTCGCCAACACTCTTATGGCCCACCCTGTACAAAGTTTATCTTATCATTATTCAAATTCTCTGAAAATAAATACCACAGTTTTTGTAACGACAAAAGTATGGAGCCACTTGTTTTGCCGTATTTATTCGTTTTGCGATTGCGTGCGGTAAATATTAACATCAGTGAGAATGGCAAAAGTAAAAGAATTTTCAAAAGATTTAAGAGACAAAGTGATTGGATTATAAGTGGTGTCAGAAATGTTGAAATTTCTCAAGGATTAAAAATGAACAAATGGTCGATTTCGAAAATTATCACTGAATATCAAGAGTACGGATCAACAGCAATGCGGCCCAGGTGCGGAAGACCGAAAAAAACGATTATGTTTTGGATCGCTACATTAAGCGTTTGTCCCATGAAGATCCTCGAATGTCAGCCACACAGATTTTCAAAATAATCGTAGAAGAGGGTATCGAGAATCCTTCTGTCACAACAGTGCAGAGACGCTTTGTGAATTTTGGGCTTTTTGGTAGGCGTCCACTGCAAAAGCCTCTCATTTAAAAAACATCGTATTGCTCGGCTTGAATTTGCTAAAACTCATCTAACTTGTACAGAACAACAATGGAATACAGTTTAATGGAGCAATGAAAGCAAATTTAACTTGTTTAGATCTAACGGTACGGCATATGTGAGACGTCCAATACGAAAAATATTCGACAAAAAGTATCAGTTGCCAACAGTTAAGCACGGTGAGCCAACATCATGGTTTGGGGCTGTTTTTCTAGTTCTGGAACGGGTCCAATTGTTAAAATTGTTAGGAAAATGGAATAAAAACTTTACAAAGATATTCTTAGTGAATACATGCTCCCTTTTGCTGAAGAAGAAATGGCTTTACGATGGACATGCCAGCAAGGTAATGACCCCAAGCGTACCTCAAAATTCGTAAAGGACTGGTTAAGACAAAAAAATGTTAATGTTCTTACATGGCCTTCACAATCGCCGGACCTAAACCCTATAGAGCATCTCTGTTCTGTTCAACAGACGTCTGTAAAAAATCGGTGCTAAAGGCAATGCTACCAAATATTAGTTAGTTAGTTATTGTATTTAATTTTTTAATAAAAAATATGATTCCATACTTTGGTCGTCTCATTTTTGGTCATAAAATAATATAAAGGTATTTTAATGCTAGTCTGCAGTACCACAGCAAACACAAATTGTCATTTGTATCCTCAAGACTGTAAGCAAACTATATGAGAAAAAAATAGTCCTTAATAATAAAAAATGAGCGCACTTTTTAAAAATCACTAAGAATGTTTCCAAACTTTTGCCCGCTACTGTATTGTACGTATGCTTGAACATTTGTTTTTAGAAGTTCGCAAACATACGTTTTTTAGTTTTGTCTCACCACCTTGAACATATCCTCGTCAACATATGAGTCTTTCACATTTACTGTTATTGCTGTCAGTGTGACAACTTGCTCCTCATGGGCGTCAGCTTGGGTTTAATTTTGTTGATATTCCATATAAAACATGGCAATGCCTGCACTTACAACTAGCGATTGAATAAAGGATTGGCTTCCACACTGTGGTATGCTAAGCTCCCCATAAGGTACAGTCAGTCAATCTGTTTACTTATTTCATATGGCTCTGTGGTTTAACCATAAAACCAGGGAAAAGAACTATATATTATGGTTTTATTCATCCAGAAAAACATGCAGTTCTATCACCCAGCTTACATTTCAGATGCAGCAATGGTTTATCTACAACTATGCAAAACCTGAGATTTTGTATTACATGCACATGATGCTGCAGAGTATTTCAAAATCACCTTACCTTAGGAGGTTCAATCAGTAAATTGTGAAAATCTTTTATCCTACAACAAATTGCTTGGGTTGTATTTTGAATAATTTTCTGTTTTTGTTCAATATCAGTCGCTTCCTCATTTATATTCGTACTGTACGTTTGATTCAATTTTGGCAAACTGAAATCAACATTTTTATAGAGAAAAGTGGAAATGACTTAACCATCATACTATCTTACCTATTTTGGTATACATCTAATAAAGATAAAAGTACTTGTATGCCACCCACTATAGCTGAATCTACTTTTTCTTCACCCAGAATGTTGTCCAGCAACAAAGATACTGTCTCGGTCCTGTAAAAAGATTGATACACTCCATATACAGTATTAACATTATTCAACTCAAGCATTTCCAACATACACCACTAGATGGGCAGCGCCAAGCACTTGTTAGCATTTATGCTGATTTACTCTCACTGTGATACCAAAGTTGTTTTGGAGTTTATTTTTTGAATCAAATGAATGTATGAACTTACGATTCTAATGTATTCAGAAGAGGATCAGGGTCCACTCTTTCTGTGGAATTTCTCAAAGTGTCACGTGCTGTCCTAATAAAATCACACAGTAATTGAGCAACATTGTAATGTCTCTCCTTGTCTACCTTTGGGTTTAATAAGGATACCAAGGATTGCATGATCCTTTGACTGTCTAACCACTGGAAAAAAATTAAATATTAACATAACTTTTACCATATTATTATATATACGGTTTACAATACAATAATAAAACCTCATTTTCAGTACTGTTCATCTTTATTATATTTCCTTATCAAGAACAAAATAGGCACCTTACAAAAACTTCAAAGAGGGGAATGCGGATAATTTTACAGTGCTCTAGGTCCACAAGAATTGAATATATGCTGGATACTCTACAGTGGTTATCGGTGAATCAACATCTTTATTTAACAACAATGCTATTTATTTATAAATAATGAGATCCATTCATATAACACTAGGACGTGTACTCATTTCCATGTAAATAAAATAAATATGAAGAGTACAATGAAAACAATAATGTCCAAAGGTCTATGTGAATACAATAAGTTGCCCCAGCTAATAAAAAACGCCGACTTCAGTCGGGTATTTCAAGAAAGCACTTATCAAACACATAAGATCTGACAGAATTTGTTAAATTTATTATATTTGAATATTTATTTATGTACTTGTGAAATGCTGTAATGCTACCAGTTGTTGTTGAAATTAGGATTTTTTTTTTCTAAATAAAGGACAAAATAAAATAATACATATATATATATATATATATATATATATATATATATATATATGTATAAACAAAAAATAGGAAAATAATTTTCTCTTTTTAAATATATATATATATATATATATATATATATATATATATATATATATATATATATATGCAAATTGTAGTTTCTTTTTAATTTCAAATACATCACCCTGTATATTTGTGCAGGTTTGGATTAAATTTTTTATAAGCTTTTTTTGATACTGGACACATAAGGGTCTTTACGGCTATTTTTTCGGTTATTAGCACGTCTTTTATGGAACGGCTTAATTCCCTAAGACATCGCATCATCATTGGAAACAAATAAATTGTTGATTAGTTACAAACTATCAAAATTAGCTTTGTGAGCATTATAATAAAAACGTACGTGCTTGAAGATGAATTTTTCTACAGAATAAATGGTGAATATGGTGTTCGTTTCCTAGCATCTCGCATTTATAAGCAACGGTACCCTAATATGCGACATCCAAGGCCGCAAACATTTTCCACACTACGAGAACGTTTTGAACCAAGTGGAGCAGTGGAATATAGTAAAAAATGTATAAATAATCCAAGTGTCACCAATAAGGCCAATTAGTTGGAGGTTCTATTAAAGATGCAGGAAAATCCCCATTCAAGTGCATGGCAAATTGGAGCAGAAACTGATATATGCAGAACTTCTGTCCAAAGGATTATTCACAAGCATAGGTGTACCATCCATATCACCTATGCTTGCATCAAGGCCTTCATCCTCAGGATTTCTCAGCTCGAATGAAGTTTAGTAGAATAATGCTAAATAAATTGAGTGAAGACACTACTTTCCTGGATAAGGTTCTTTTTAGCGATGAGGCAACTTTTAACAGCATAGCTGTTGTCACCAGGCATAACATGCATGGAGAACCTTTATTGGGTTAGGCAAATAGATTTCCACAATAAATGGAGCTTGAATGTTTGGGGAGAAGTTATTGGCAGACAAGTTATCGAGCCTTTCTGTTTCGACAACAGATTAACAGGTACAGAATACTTGAATTTTTTGATCGAGCATTTGCCTTTGCTTTTGGAGGATGTCAACCTGCAAACTCGGATGCATATGTACTTCCAGCACGTCGGCGCACCTGCGCATTATCATAATCGTGTGCGTAACTATTTGGACACCTGGAGTAACAATCTTTGGATCGGTCGTGATAGGTTTATGTCTTGGCCTCCTAGATCACCAGATATGACACCGATGGACTTCTTTCTATGGTTTATAGATATCCACCATCTACCCCAGAAAATATGAAGCAAAGGATTAAGAATGATTTTCTGAACATAGGGAACACATGCTGAGGGATGTGCAACAGTCATTGATCCAAAGACTATCGTTGTGTATTCAACATGGTGGAGATATTTTCGAGCAGTTTTTTTTAGATTAAGTCTTGAGAAGTGATAGTTGTTTGTTTATGTTGTTTAGATGTTTTTCTCTATTACACTTGAAGCTGATTTATACTGTTCTGATTTTTATTGGTTTTTACGTCAAATCTGTACTCTTAGTGGCAATGTGGAACTAGTCCACTGTTTGTCTTTTGTATCCATGGGTGAAGTGATTTTTTTCCTTAATTTTGGTGTGTTGTTCTATTAAAAGCTTATTAGCTGAATCTGAATCAAACCTTATACAACAAAAAAGCTATTAAAAAATTGAATCCAAACTTGCACAAATATACAGGGTGATGCATTTGAAATTTTTGAGAAAAAGTACAATTCGCGTTTTTGGCAAACAAATAAGATAAAAGCTGAGATGTGTAAGTTTTTGTTGATACAAGATTCAGCATTACAAATTTCAAAATGGCGGATTGGGGGGTTGCCGAAATGAATGGTTTTTCTGGACAAAACACCTTACATCTTAGTAGCTAAATACCAAAACCCGATAGTATGTTATATCACTCTTGTTCTTATGAATTGGTTTATTCAAAAATGCAATAAAATTTGAGGTATTCCATTTAAAAAATCACAACTTTGATATGTAGGTCAAAATTGGGACACCCTGTATAATTGCCAATATTTTAGAAATGTGCCCTCAAATGTATAACATGCCATAAATAGATTTTCTCAAAATGTATTTGTTTATGAGTAATATTCCGTCCACACATGGATGGGCCACCTTGTATATATGAGGTTGATTAAAAGTGGAAAAGCGGCACATCTAGGAAACTAAGAAAATGGGACTTTCAGAGTATTTCCCGAGATAGATCGAGAAACTGAACTTTCCAAAAATCATTTTTAGTTTACTTCTATTTCTGGAAATACTAAGAATTCTGAAACTTTCTGAGTTCTATTCTCTTAGTTACTTGAATGCACAACTTTGAAGTCGAAATACTTGGCATATTTATTTCTATATGTCACAGTTGATTTTATCTGTTGTAAATCAGCTAGTATACGACGATATACGTCTCTACATTACTTACATTTAATATATTCTGCCGCATCTCCATACCCTCAACTTGCGTCATCAGCTTTAGAATGAGGTCCATAACAGCAGAGGTGCCTAAGTGTCTAAGCAGTAACTGAATAAAGTCGTCCTTGGCTTTTAAAAAGTCTAGGACCTGTAAGCAAGTGAACTGATAGGAGAGCCAGTTCTGTGGCGTGGACGATAGGATCATCAGGAGTAGGATTGGACAGAACCGGATCGAGGACAGGGAAAGGGAGAAAAAGAAAAATCTATTATATTGCTGTTAATACTAAGTGGAACTGGACATAAAATTAAGTACCAGAGAAAATTATTTTGTTAAAATTTTTAATAGCTGAAACAGACAGTTCAGTTTTCAAGGCTGATGCATTTGTATGCTCATGTGTTTGGAAAAAATGTGTTCTTTGAAAGAGAACTCATTTAAATCCTCTGTACTTGTCACCAAAGCTGGATATATCAGATGAATCCGACATCAAAAATCATTCAGCAGCTTTCTTCCCATTGCCTCTTGCAACATATAGTGTAGGATTCACTATAAGTGCCACTACCACATCCAAAAGTGATCATTCCTGGGCATTGAAAAGTGTCATTTGTACAATTCATATATCTTGTGCTTTGTGCAGTTGTACACACACAATTAAGGTTTTCTGGGCTCAAGAAATAAGGTGGTAGATAAGTAGTACAGTAAAAAGATAAAACACAAGCATATTTTTTAAATTTTACAATAACATATTTATTCGCTTAAATATAATAAATACAAAAAATAGATCAAAATTGTAACATCACTGGAACTATATTTTATGTCCACCTCCAATATTATCTTACATCCCACTGTCATAATACTTCAGCTTAGGCTTTGATCAGCTTGATTACATTGATTATGTAGCGCATTTTTCAACATTAGGTATTTTCAATTATAATGGTGTACTAAGTCTAATAACAATTCCTTTTATTAATCATTGCAATCAACACATTGATTGGGAGTCTTACTCTATTGTAAAAATCTGAATTTCATGGAATTTTTGTAATTATTGTAGTTATAATTTCATTTCATTTCATAAGTTATCAGTATAAAAGCTAATAAAATAAGTATGCACCATTTCCATAAGTCGATTATAGTTACTTATGCCCTTACTGTATTTCCTTATCAAATGTTTTATACAATCTACACTCGATGATAGCAACTATCATGGATACAAAATGATGGCACTATTGAATACCAATAAGTCATAAATTCTATTATCATTCCCATAGAAAAAATGTGTAAAAAGCTTAATTATTTTACATTATGCAAAATCCACTAGCATGTAAAAATTCTGTGTTTTTCCCAAGTGTATCATAGATTTAATACGAGTCTGAAATTATTGATGTTTATTTTATAAATCATACTAACCTGCTCAGTCTTTTTGGCAATCAACACCCCCATAACTTTACTGAAATAGGAAGCTAAAAGAGGATTGAGAGGAGGTTCAATTTTGAGGAAAGTGTAAAGTTTTTCTAACAGAGCCTTGTCACTAGCCAGCCTTTCATTTAAAGTCGGTACATCACAAGTCAATAGTTCACATGCTACATTAGGATGCTTGAACCTTAGCTTCTCATCCATTTCCAACGTTGGTTCTTTTGTTATCAGATTCACTAGCTCATCCATCACTTCTGGTTTCTGGAGGCTAAAACAACAAATCCCATTGACATGAACATTTATATCAAATTTTATTTCATCTCCACATTTCACAGAAAAAAATTGATTTTTCTGTACTTTTATGCCTACTCACATAATAGGATGTGCTTTATATCAATGCTTGTTTTTAAACACAAAGACATTGGTACCCAGCTGTATTGTACATGTTCTAATAATTTTATTTACTTACAAATCAATGAGCATTTTATTCTGTGCTCTACATTCATTGATGATTTCCTCTGAATCTAGCACTTCAGCAAGGGTGACATTCTGCAACAATTTTTATGTTTAACAAAATGTAAGACACTTGTAGGGTATACTATAATTACCTCCTTTGACAAAAGTGCTTCGATTTGGGAAGAAGCGTTAGTATTGTGTTTCCAAAACATCTCTGGAACACAAAAAAAACTAAGTGATAACACGGTTAAGAAAATGGTTCAATCAAGGTTATCGCACTCATTTTACGTAATTGGGGAAGGTCTGTATAAGAATACATTGAGAGTATAAAAGGCCCACCTCCAGTATTTTCCGTAGTATTTTAAAAGATGTTAACTAGTTTCATCTGAAATGACCCCCAAACAAATCTAATGTTGCTTCACTAGATACACGTGTAAATACGGCAAAGCTATTGATCATATCACAAATTTCACGTTGATTGCTTGGTGGAAGTTGCCTGCAATTTCTAATAAATAAAAATTGAATACTTTCTTCTTGGGAAGATAAAAATGACCACAAATATACCACCATTCATAATCCCACAATGCACTTGTTGAATTGAAATGACATAATGACAAGCGGGGGCGCGCCAAATTCAAATTTTAAAGTAATATGGATTTTTTACCAAATAACTCCGAAGAAAAAGACATTTTGCTCCAGCTTGTTGTAATGAAAATGAGGAGATGTCAGGTAAACGTCGGATTTTGACCTACTTGAACATATGTCAACTCATTCAACCGTTAATTCGCACTAAGACAGATAATGAGTATTATGAAGTATCAACGTAAAACTTACCTTTCTGGTTATTATGCAGTTTTCTGTTTTATATTTCACTTCTTTTTCGATCTTTATGTATTATTATAAATTCATAAAACTTAGTAAATGATCAGAAGTGTAAATTCAGGCAACACATTTTGCAGGAATAGGATCGTACTCAATAGTACTTCTTCCTACATTTTCTTGAATATGAACGTATGTAGTCTCGCGCAGGGCTGCGCTAACATTTTACTCATTACTCAAGGATTATGTGTGTGATAGGGATGGCGATCTGAGATCGATTAAAAGGAGAATCGATTTTTCAGGTAAAAAAAAAAACGATATTTTAAATCGATTCATAGTGGTAGTAAATCGACATTCGATTTTTTGTTTTAATAAAAATCATAAAATTATAGTTTTAAATCGAGTTATATGACTTCCCAATTGGCACATCACTAGAGATTTTTTCGCGAGAACCCGTTGTGAACAGGAGCGGCAACAGATGGAATTTCACCATCCTCTCGAAGTTTTGACAGTTTCCAGTTACACCGAGAGTAGATAGATGGCGAATACTGCGCAAAATAATTAGCTTAAGATCATCGAAACGTCATCCGAATGTCAAATAATCACGTGGTACGGGTACCCGTCTGACGTCTGTGAGATATTATTTCAAGTTACACGGGGAGTGGTCAGATGGCGCTTGTTGCGCAAAATGTTTGCTTTAAGCTCCTTGATAAACTTAGCTGCCTTGTTTGAATCTGAAATAAAAAGACCGATCGTTTTTTGTGCAATGTAATAATTTAACTCAATTTTCGGCACTGCGAAGACAACCCTTTTTGTCTTCGCAGTGCCGAAAATTGAGTTAAATTATTAAATCATAAAGGAGGAACACGTCCACCTGAATTTAAATGACGAGCGAGATATTATATGAACCGCACTTGTCATATCAAATGATTGATTTTGTTGATATATAAGCGGGAACAGTTTGAATTTCCCCTTCCTCTCGAAGTTTTGACAGTTTCAAGTTACACCGGGAGTGGTTAGATGGCGCAACTTAGCTGCCTTGTTTGAATCTGAACTAAAAAGACCGACTGTTTTTAGTGCATTGTACATATATATCAATAAAATCAATCATTTGCTATGCAAGTGCGGTTCATATATCGATGACCTTCTCCCTCGTCATTTAAAATTAGGTGGACGCGTTGCTCCACTTATGATTTAATAATTTAACTCAATTTTCGGCACTGTGAAGACAAATTTTCAATGGAGATGAATTACAATTCTGTATTTGTAAACTTTTTTTATTTTTAATGTCAGAAATGATTAGAAATAAATACCAGAAAAAGGAGAAAGAAATTCCATGTTTCTAATGAAAAATCTTTGTGTACTATTCAATCATATCATAACAGATGGGTCATTTTGGTACCGTTTTTCCTTTCTATAATACTGGTATTGTAGACGCAAATTAAAAAAAAAACAACTTTTTAGAGATCGATCTTTTAAATGGACGATTTTTATGTGGATCGATTCGTCTGTTCTATAAAGTTCGAATCGATTCAAAAATCGATTTTTTGTTGGAAGAATCGCCATTTCTAGTGTGCGAGGAAAAATGAGCTAGCTTGAAAAGGTGCAGGAGGAACGAACCTTATTTTGACAGCTCGACATAAAAATGTCAGTGATCAGTTCTAGTACAAGGTAAACGGAATTTTCGGACAAGTGGGATGAATGCATTCCCTTGAAGTTGGCCTTGCATTTTACCTCTGCTTTGGTTATTTGACAGATAACTCAAATTTGGTTTTATTTATCCATAGTTTAAAAAAATTAACGACACCACATTGTTTTCTAATAGGAAATAATGTCCAAACAGAACGAGAACAGATGGACTAATTTTGCATTGAGAATAATAGTAAATACAGTGTCACACCCATTTGAATATGCCAAAATTCTGATACAGGTTAGTTAAACATACTGGCTTTTTTAAAATTTTAGTGCAAAGGTATATGGATTATTATTGTGTTTTAGATCGGATATGAGCCAATTCCACCCAGGCCGACTAAAACCCTTTTTGGAAAACCTGCTCTGAAATTACCCAACATTTTTGAATATGGTAGGTACAGGTTTCAAAATTATTATTTTCATGGAAAATCCTGTCTCTTTTGAGGCATTTTGTTGGGAAGCTGCTCAGCTTTGCCTTGAGAATTTTTTTTTGTTGAATATGCTCTGTGGACACAAATGAAGAAGTTCAGAATCCTATTGGTATGAATCATAAAATAATGGTCTATACAGATTCGAAATTATCATTTTTGTTTGTATAAATTGCAGTGGTGGATTCAAAAATCAATGTTTTTTAGTGTTATCTGGTACTATAATACCTTGGAACATTTTTAGCAGAGTTTTCTAATATTTCTAGTAAAACATATAAAATCTGTGGATGGTATTGTGGGCTGTTGTAATGGCTTAACACCAAAAATAACAGGAAACATATTGAGCACTATTGTCACATATAGGCTTACAGAATACTTGAATCCTCCATGTGATGATGAGTTTGAAGTAGAGCCAACAGAGGAGCAACGGCAAGTATCAGTTTGTAATGTGACATCATCTGTAAATTCGTTAGTGAACACAAGTGACTGAAGTACAGAAAGTACAATTTAGTAGGATAGATTAATATGAATTTTAAATAAAGTGAAATTATTTACAGGAAAAAACAATTTACAAAGAAGCTAAAGTGTGATCTAATTTTGCATTCTTGTGCGATTGTTGTGAGTCAACCATTTCATGTCATCACTGTCCGTATGATGGCTCAGTTTGTCGGAAGAGAAACTAAGTATAAGTAAGTTTTCAAATTTTGCTTTCTTCAAATATTTCAGAATTAGTTGAATGAGAAATTGATTTTCAAAAATGTATATTGGTAGCTACACTGTTTGCATTAACTTTTAGTGGGATATTTACCTCAGTGAAAGAAATATACCATCAGAATGGAGTCCTAGGATTTTTTAGTGGACTGGTACCAAGATTACTAGGAGACATTCTATCTTTATTATTAGCCAGTAGTTTGACATATGCAGTTAGCCATTACTTGATTGAAGACAGAGAATTGCATATTTACACCTCAGCTATAATGTCGGTAAGTTTGTAATGGAAAATATTCAAGCTATGCGCAAGCATAAGTCCATTAATTAGTTCTTGCTCAAAATGATCCTCAATTTGAATTTTGATTTGCTTAGAATGCTAGAGTGAAAAATTGAAGCATTCTGGCAAATGAAAGGTATTGAATACAGGGTATTTGAAGTAACAAAGGTAATTCGAAGTAAAACAGCAATGAAAAGCTATAAAAAAATGAAGGAAACTATACAGGGTATTTTAAGTAACAAAGCTAATCTGCAGTAAAACACTATACATCTGTACAAGATGAGCCTTCGCGGTGCAGGATGAAAACATAGGGGAAAGCTATCTGAATTTATTCGCACTGCATCAACAAGCTCGTTATTGTTATAGGAATGAGCCATTCTTAGTTTTTTGTAATCCGATTTGTAAACAAACAGCCCGGTTTACTCACGCGGCGCGTGGTACCTGGGTTACTGACACACGAAATTCTCAAATCATTTAATGGAGGCAGAGTTTTTGAAGCATAATAATATAATACATCAGTGTATGTGTAAGAATATGTTAATCAGTGGTGGAAGGAAAATGTGTGTATTTTTAAAAGCTGTGTAAAGGGAAGTCCTAACTTCAAAAATATCCTTTGTAATCAAACTTGTTTACTTTTCAGTTCCTTGCAACTGCCATTACATACCCATTCAGTGTGATTTCCAATTGCATGGCAGTGACAAACTCAGGATTGATGGCTGGATCACCAAATTTTATGCCCCACTACTCCTCATGGTTGGACTGCTATAATGACCTGGCCAGTAGAAACCAACTGAAGCGCGGTTCTAGTGTCTTGGTGCGCTACTATGTGGGACCATCAATTGTTATTGGGGGCAAGGCCATGCCTTTTCCAAAGGATGTGAAGGCAGTTTCATAATCTGTCACTTTTTTAGTCCAGTCTCTGTGTGTAAATATTTTAATACCATTTCAAGACACATTGTTTATATATTTACCTTCAATAAATTGTTGTTTTTTTATTACAGATTGAGGGTTTATTTATTTATATTCAGACTGAATGTAGAGTGTATTTTTCAATCGACATGTAGCTGAGGGGCAGATTTTTGTTAAAAAACAATAGTTCTTAGACGAAATTTTAGAAACAGCATGATATGCCTTATGACTACAGGTTTAACCTGATAAATTTACATTTTCATACGTACAACTGAATGTAAGACTTACGAACACTATTTTGGTTATGGTCATTAATGACTAGTGTTGTGAACCTCTGTTCAGAGTAAGAAAACAGGCCTTTCAGGGTCCCATTGATTTCAGTGAAAAATTAACTACACATTCATGACCGATGTATGAAAGGAGATGGTAAAAAAAAATGTCTTTAACCCCTAGTTTCTCAAGGTAAAATTTCCATGTTCATCACCAGTTGTTAGAAATGATTGAAACTTGGTGCACTGGGGGTGATGACCATCGAGACATTGTAAAGCTGAATTTCGATTACAAAAAGAGCCACCTTGAGGCCTTGTTAGAACAGTGAATATGCTTGGCAAGACTAACATGAAAAATACCTGCTTATAAAGAATTGTTTAATAAAAATTAAATACAAATGCATACTAATAATCAAAATTGTATTCAAAGTATGATGAGTCAAAAGTATGCACTCTAACATAACCATCTTCTCCTCCAGAACTATAGCCCTTTCCATCAGGATGGAATGCCACACTGTTGATGGGTCCAAAATGCCCTTTAACTCTACCAAATTCCTCCTCAAATACCATGTGAAAGAATCTGGAATCAAATTTTCCTACTCTGGTTGAGGTGGTTGTCACATCCATAGCTTCTTGACCACCTATAGCAAAAAATATAATCTTTAGAAACACTGGAATCTCTAGTTTTCAATAGTACACTATTTTTCAGTCACATCAAACCAACAAGGTGCACCTTATGCTGCTTCATAGTGCTTAATAACATCAATGTTATTGTGTGAGTTGCTATACATAAAATAATTAGGAAACATTTGGTATACAACCAAAACAAACCAATTCATATAGATGCTAGTGATCATGTTTATATTTTGAGTCAGCCGAGTATTGGTGTCTATCAAAATTTGGAGAAAATGCTTCCGATATACTTATTCTCAATTGCAAATTACAAAACAGGCACAAAAAATATTTTGAAGTATCATAACAAATAGTGTACTTATATACAAAATTAAAGAAAATAGAGATATTTTCCTCATGTTATTAATACCGCTTCAGTAACAACTTTTTTCATAGAAGTACAGATACGGAAATCTAAACACATACCTCCTAAAACAACATGTTCCATGATTGGACTGATGGAAGCAGAATTGACAGGTCTCTCAGTTTTGTAGGTCTTGAGGAGCAGCAAGTCTTTGGCATCAAATAACTTGGCAGTATGATCTTTAGATGCAGTTATGAACATTGTTCCATCCTTGTTCCACTGCATATCATTGATAAGGTTGTCATGTTCTTTGACAGAGTTGATCTGCCTGCCAGTCTAAAAATGCAAACAGTATGTCAATGAGCATTGTTATAAATGTTATTAGTAAACTTTGAGATACACAAAGAAGTTTTCTTCTGGCAAATAATGTTTTGAACCACAATAAGAGAAACAAAGATGTTTTACCTTGAGATCCCACTGGGTAATCTCTCCGTTCTCATGTCCACTAATGATACTGTCATCTAAATCCCATAGTATAGATGATACCCTTGATCCTTTGATGGGTATCCTCAAAATAGGATCTTGCTGACCTGTGCTGTCATCTACTACCCTGGTATCTATTATAAACATCTCACAATCTTGTTTCATAGCTTTATCTGTAGTGTATACAGCCATGTTGGCAGAATAGCTGAACATGCATGTCCTTACAGAAGATGCAGATGTGATGCAACCAATTTCTTTGCCTGTTTCACAGTCCCATATCCTGCAGGTTCTGTCACCAGCACCAGACATAAATCTAAAAGTCATTGATCCCTCAAATAACTAATTTCAAAAATTATTATCCATTAGGTTTTCAATTGTCTATAGTGGATACTTTACACCTATGACTTCATCTAGTTTGGATAATAATACAACCATTCCATTATGCACATACTATTTTTCAAGATAATTAAAAATGTCAAAACATGAGAAGTAATGATAGCTAATTATTTAATGACATCCAAACTACCCCATATTACCAAGTAACCTCATATTGCTTTGTATTTGTTAATGACACGGACAGTCATGTTAGTTTTACATATAGTGATTGAGAAAATTTTGCTGTAGAATCATAATGAGCCAATCAATATAGCTGTTAACAATAATGAGTATACTTGGGATGGCAATAATTAAATAAACCTTTATAATCAAATGATGAAAATAATTCTGATATTGAGTCAAGAATAGGAATGTATTGCAAGCAGTACAAAATTAATAAAATGTTGCAGATAACAGATGTATGAATATTTTGATCTTTTGTGGAAGGTCACTGAAATTGTTGCAAGTGTTAGAGACTATTACTTCCCTAGTGGATAGTTACTCAAGAGGTGTGAATCGTACCTTGTGGTTGTCCAGTCAACATCTATGCACCAAACTACACCCTGGTGACCATTAAAGCTACCAAGACGTTCTCCATTCAAGGAATACCATACATTGGGTTTGTTGTCTTTTGAAGACGAAAAGAGCAAATCTCCTTCTCTGTTGTACTTGATTTGCGTTATGGCACGTTCGTGCCCTTGCAGCATGATAGGTTTCTGAAATGATAGAGTTTATCCATATTGTTTGTGTTTATAGGTTAGAATTTGATTGAATAATGGAATATCAAGTCCTACGGACATAAAATTTGAATAAAACGTATTTGTTTCAAGTGCTTACCATTGTTAAAGGATTACCAAAGTCGTATTTTGATTAAAAAATTGATTTTTCAGTAAAATTTTTGCACAATGCGGTTATACGCCTCTCAGCATAGAACGTGAAAGTGAAAATCGCATGAAATAAATCACCTGTCACTGTCAATAGTGCCTTGACGTTGGAGGTATTAGTCAGGTTTTAGTTTGGTGCCATCTATCGAGCGTCTAGTAATTACGAGGTTGAAGAGCGTATTATCATTTTTGTCAGCAGATGGAGCAATCTGTACACAGGGTGATCCTCGTCCATGCACCCATCCTCCTTCCAAATATCCAAAATATATCTACCTCTACCTTGGACATGAGGGGACAACTTAAAGGTTGCAGCATGTAGGTTTGACTAAAAATGGACTCGCATAAAAAATAAGTCAAGTGGATTGACTCGGTGAATTCGGACTACGAATTGGTGAAAATCTACGTAATACACCGTCACACGAAGATTCTAAACGTTTTAATATACTAATAAAAGGAATTACGAATTTTACAGTTTTTTACAACGACTAAAAAGATAAAAAACGGCAAAGAAGTATAGTATGTTTCAGAATTCTTTTACCATGTCAAAAAATGAGCAGACTCAAAAGAAGTTTTGGGCGCGTTCTGGAAAGTATTCTCCTATGCTCAACTTCGCCGCTGCAGTTCTACCTCTAGCAACCTTGCAGGTAGTTCAAAATTCTAATCAAAAAATTATTTTTAACTTCTATCAGTTGCGGCTTCAGAATATTTAGACCCTCCCTTTCGCTTTTCGCGGGGGTATAGGATTTCTGGGAATATTGTACAACGTCTTTGGTTATCACGGAAACCTACCATGCTATTTTCTTGCTTTTTTCTTTTGCTACTCCATACTCCGCCTAGTTCTGAGTTCTGAGTGTTTCAAGTTTTGTGTTCTGTGTTTTACCAAAGTTGGCCGTGAACGCGCGTTTATAAAGCTTATTTTTGTTTTTTGTTTTCCACTTTTCGGTGTGTGCTTTTCGGTCTTATTTTTATCATCATCGTTGTGTTTTTTATTTTTAATAAACAAAAAATATCGTGTTTTGTACTTTGATGGACTGTGGTGGGTGAGCAGATAAATGAAAAACAGGTGAGCCCTTATTGTTAATTCCAGTAGTTATGTTTTGAATTCTCTAGTAGTAACTGTGTTATCCCTACCATTGAACCTAGAAACTGGAGAATCGGTCTGTGGAATTGGCCAAGACTATATATCATATTTCTTAACGCCAGAAGAGTTAGATTTCTTTATTGAGCTCTAGCAAGACCGTTATTATCGTTGTCTAATTTTTATCCGAAACTTTTGTCTAAAGCGGATAATATGTGACTTCATTTGTCTCATTATTTTGAATTATAGGTCTTGAGTAGTTGTATATCCTAATACAGCAAATTCAAAACGAGAATTTAGCATTTAGAATTGGAACTAGACCATTAACTATTAATGCCATTAGGCGTATTTTTAATCCACGTTCTATATGGCGCAAGCACAATGAACAAAAATATCGAATAATCCATATGTTCGAATCACTCGTAACTTGTCAGTAGCTCACTATAAATTTTGTAATTTTCATATACGTACCTACTAGTTACCAAGAGGGGACGCAAAACATATTATTCAAACATGCTTAGGTGTGGTGCGATTTTAGAAATCAACATCAGATTGCAAAAGAGAGATGAAATATCTCATTCTGCTGATAAAGTACATCATGGCATGAAGTGATGCATACATTATCATATTGTGATTCATCTCATTGGTGGATCTAGAGGGGGCGAGGGGCGCCCGTGCCCTCCCTAGGCGCCCACGGCTGACATTTTTTTAAACAAAATGGTATGTAGTTCTGTATCTTCCTATAAAAATGACCATAGACGTATCCCACTCCCCGCTCCTCAATTATTGTTACAAGGGCATTTGCTCAGTAGTGTCGCTTAAGTGCTTAGGCACGCAGCCGCCCCCACCCCCACCCCCAAAAAGTATCGAATAACACTAAAAATACGCATTTAGTGACAGAACTGAAACTTTGATCCTCACTACAAATTATGAGAATTAGGAGACAACCAAATCCTTGAATGGCTCCTTCTCCCTAGTCTGAATTTCTTGCCCTAGAAATATTCGTAAATCCGCAGGGTTATTACGTAAAAACATTCAAAATGTCAAAAAAAAACGACAAAATGTCAACTTGCTGTCTAGATAGTTTCTAGTGAGCAAATAGTAATTTCCGCGTTTGCTCGTTTTGAGTGCTGTGAGCGTCATCAAAAGCGTCCATCTATGGAGGAATCACTCATCGACACGACACGGTCAATGACCATCCTTTGAGCTGCAAAAGTCAGTTCCCCACCATGCTCTGCTGGTTGCAGAATGCCGAGAGACTGCTGAGTAGCAAGGTCACATCTGGATGATTATGTGCATTGGTCTGCTTGTGTATAAAATCAGTGACATTTTCTATGTGAGAAAATTATTACTGATTATGCTACCCACGAAATATACAGGGTGACTTCGAAGTTGACTCATTTATTTTAACAGTGAGTAGATCTGATCAAAAGAAATGTTTTTTTCCTTCAACATTTTTCTGGTAAAATTAAATTAAAGTTATAGCCCTTTAGAAGTTTGAGTACCGCCCTGTTTCAATAATAATATTATGTGCTCGTGTTTGGCAACAACGGATATAATCCGCCTTAACGGTTCATCGCATCGGAAACAAAAAAGCGAAAGAATTTGAAACGTTTATCACGATGTCAGTCAATGTGTCAGTCGGTAACGCGTGAGTGGTGTTTGTTGCGTGGCTCAAACGAAATAAAAAATGGCACATGTTTACGAAAATGCTGAACTTGTGGACATGATTCTTATTTACGGGGGGGGAGTCTTTACAAAATGCTGCCGCGGCATCACGGATTTATGCGAATCGGTTTCCCAATCGAGTGCAACCAACCCCTCGTGCCTTTGTTAATGCAGTACAAAGGGCTCGTGAATCAGGTGACTTAAGACCTCACAGGTGAGGGCATGCCGGTGCTCCAAGACCGCACCATCAAATACAGGTCCGCACTGAAATACTTGTCGGGAGGATACTTTATAAAACAAGGTAACATTTTTTTTGATTTTCTTTTTATTTTTACACACATATTTTGGTTTATCTTCCATCTACAATCATTATCTGAAAATTAATGACTCAAGTTCAAAGTCACCCTGTATCTATTAGCTGCGATAGACGGGTTATTTGTGTTGTCCTTTGTGAAGAGAGGTTATGTTCAAAGGTTTACATTACGATTTTACCCGTTTTGTTTTGCGTTTTCAAAATCTTAGCGAAGAATAATTACGGGAAATCAGCACCGCACCCGCGTTGTGTGTAATTAAGCCACGTTACAGAAAAATCATAAATGAAGCATCACATACAACATCGCACTGCCTACTTGACATCGTAAGATAAATTTCTATAAAATTTAATTGACTGGAAATAAAAATCAATGTGAAATGTAATAACTTTTTAACGTTTCATCAGTACTCCTGTATGTACCATGTTTTCTGACTTGTTAGTTTTAATATGCTTCACCAACCAGGGATTTTATTTTCTTATCGATCTCTTTTTTGAAATTCAGCAAATTTGCATATGCATATCCAATTTCCAGGTTGAATAAGAAAAAGCGGATGCACAACTAATTTTTAGCTTTGCATACGAGGAGGTACCCAAAAATAACCAGAATAGTATTGCAGTGGGCGGAGCTTGTGTAGTACACATTTCTGCCCCTTGAGGCGTACAACGCAACTCATTACCAGTTCAGTGCCACCTGAGTTGTCGATCTACCTTGTTTCGTTCCTCTGTAGTCATTATTTTTGCTAGAGCTGTTTCGTGCTTGTTTCGTTTTTCACGGTGGCAACGTGCAGCTGTGAAATTTTGCTTTCTAATTGGTAAAAATGCTGCTGAAACTGTTTTAATGTTGAAAATAGTTCAAAAAGATGATGCTATAAGAAAGACTCAGGTGTGAGTGGTTTGCTCGATTTAAAAATGGCGACACGTCGATTGATGATAAACCTCGCTCTGGACGTCCATCAACTGCCCGAATCGATGGAAATGTTGGAAAAATTCGAGAGCTTGTGCTATTTGGAGCTTTTAAGACGATTGCGAAACAGTGTTCGGCAAAAAAAAAAAAAACGATTTGTGGCAGTCAGGAGACTGGTTCTTCCACCACGATAATGCACCTGCGCACACAGCCATCTCTGTTCGACAGTTTCTGGCTAAAAATGGCATGGTTCCGATGCCTCGCGTACCCTATTCGCCTGACCTGGCTCCGTGCGACTTTTTCTTATTTCCACGCATGTACAGTGGCATGAAAGGAAGCCGCTTTGACGACATTGAAAAGGTTAAGAAAAAATCGAGCAGCTGTCAGACATTTCTAAGGAAGCCTTCAAAAAATGTTTGGAGCAGTGGAAGCACCGCTGGGACAAGTGTATTAGTTGTAGTGGACAGTATTTTGAAGGAGATAAGGTTGCTTTGTGAAAATAAACAGCTTTTAAAAAATAATTCCGTTTTTTTTGATACCCCCTCGTACATCTCAAGTAAATGTATTTGAGACAAGAAACCAATGGAGCTATCATCAACACAGATTATTAACACACAAATCATTACTATGCACCTATGCACTGCCGTTTCCTTCCAGCTATAGTAAACAACTTGCAGCTTAGACCTCCAATAATGCTATCTCTGAAGCAGATGTTACATCACATCAGATCCAAACATTGATAGCTGAAGCATTATGACTTATAACGTTTAGGCTACACCTACAGCTTCGGAACGAGTACGCAACAAGTGTACAACAGCTCGTGCTAAGTTGACATCTTGTAGAAAAACCTATATGTCACAAAAAATCTATACAGGTATAATGTCAAAAAACCGACATAATGTCACTTTTCAATTTGCGTAATGCCAGGGCCGCCCTTGATTCATCTTCATTGATATCTCGTCCTTCTGACGAATCGGCAACGTGCAGCTGTCGTCACAGTTACAGTCGTAGCTGACAGTCAACTTGTTGATCGATGTCATTTTGGTCCATCTGTCAATATAATCCATCGCCGCTGCACTATCATTAGCAGGTTTTTGGTGACGAGGTCATCCTAGAAGAAAAACTGTTGAATTTTAAGTTTTCGACCGGAACTCCAAGTCAAGAAACAAAGAAGTGTTTCTGCGCCCCACACCTTAATTATGGCCTATCTTTTTGCCAGCAACTGTCAGTTTTCAGATACGCTAGAATTACGTCAGTTTCGGCTGTGTGTATTAATAGTCGAGTTGTCAAGATATTTTTAACGCCTTTATTTATTGATTATTCAAATATTTTGGTAGAAAGCTCAGTAATTTACAAAAGTTTTAAATATACATTTTAAAATGCTAATTACGTAAGGCCATGTTTACCTTATGGTAGACGCCTATCAGGTCAATAATCGTATAAATCGTGCCATTTCCGAAGTGAAAATTCTTGAGAACATTCAACTCTATGTATATACATCGATAGACGTTTCACGTCTTAGCTGATAAAAAAGCCTTTAAAATTAAGTCTAGAAACTCAAATAATGAAGCCGTTCGATTGCCAAAGACCAGCACGGCTGTCGGTCTTTCTAGACGCTGGCCAAGCAGATTGAAAGGAACTTCTAAAAGAGTCTCCCTCCACTTCGCGCTAGAATGAAACGATTGTAACCGGTGATTGCAACAGACCCCACCAAGGGCGAAAGTGCTTGCAAAAATCTTTGCTATCAACCGTCGAACTCCCGAGTGCTGTCGATTCCAAGGGTTCCCTACTCTATAAGGGAAGTAACCTTCAGGCATACGACATCAACAAAGCTGTTGGTCTTTACCTGTTTGGTGCTCTTGCCCTGAAGGGATATGCAACGGAGCTTGCCCTAGTTTTTTCGGGTTTCTTTCAGATATCTTATGCATCCAGTACTTTTCCAGAGGATTGGTAATTAGCCCGTCTCAAAAAGAAGTTTTATGATCGATCCGTACCAGACCAATAGCACTGTTTTCTGTCATCATCAAGCTCATCAATTGAGAGTTTCTAGATTATCTCGAGCATTACGGTAAGGCTGGCGACTAGAAGTATAGTTTCCTGCAGTAAACTTATCCAATCATATTGTGATGCTCAAGTCGTTGCCCTTGATACCGTGAGAGCTTTCGATTAGTCAAGGTAATCCGGCCTTTTATGCAAACTTTCATCCTATGGCCTCACGGAAAAACAGCTCAGATCTCTCCTCCTTAATGACGCCGCGCGTTTAGCCTGCCAGGTGAACTTGACATGCCTCAGCCTCTCATCCTAATTCTGTCGAACTTCGCACATCGGGAAGTGGTCGGAACGATTGCTCCTTTATTCCTAGGATTTTGGGATTGTGTAACAGTCTGCCTGAGGAGATTTTCCCAGTAATCAGATTAAAAAGGTATCTTTAAGCTTCTTACAGCAGTCACGGTGCCTCGATATTTAGCTTTCTGCCCAAGCTGCTGAATCAGTATAAAAAGAAACCATCACCCATGATACCACAATACTACCTCTAAAGTGTTTGGTTTTCTTTTACTCTCAATAATGTAACGCCCTTGAAACCGGGATCATGAATGGCGAAAAGATACTCTCGCAAAATTAGGCAGCCAGAGTTACACCACCATGTACCGCACCCTGCGAAGCTTCAAGAACGATAGCGTTCACGTGCATGAGCGATTGCGGTGCTGTCTAGATGGAATCGAGTTTTTGTTAGAAAATGCAGTCGCGGTGCCTCGGTATTTAGGTTTCTGCCTAAGCGGCTGTATCAGTATAAAATTAACCACTAAAATTGTTGGTTCTACTTTAAGGTACAGATAGACATGCTATAAAAAAGCATGCCTGTGAGCATGCTTCAAACGAGAATGCTCTTTTAACTGTATACATGTGCTTGAAATAAGCATGCTCGTTTCAGGCATGCTCCTGCAGAAGCATGCTTAAAACAAACACTCTACCTACACGTACCATTTGCTAGCATCTGTCAGTGTAGTGTGGTGGAAAACATGGAACACGACGTGGCTATCCGCACACAAGTGAACGAAACCATCATATTACTTGCAGTGCAATGCATACGCAATATACTTTTAACAAAAAAGAAAAAAAGAAGGAATAGGACGATTTGGGTCCGTGATTGGATAAATAGAAGAGAAAATCTTGGAGCCAGTACTCGTTTGTTGGTCGAAATGCGAGCAGAAGATAGTGAGGGTTATCAAAATCATTTACGTATGCTTCCGCATCAGTTTGACGAGTTACTCTCTAAAATTGAAAATGCTATACAAAAACAAGATACACATATGCGAAATGCTATTCCAGCTAAAATCAAATTGGAAGTTACACTGAGATACATTGCAGCTGGAGATTCCATGTACCCATTAGAAGCACTTCACAGGGTTGCGAGATCTACCATAGCTCAATTTATACCAGAAGTTTGTGATTCAATATACAGGGCTTTGAAGGATTATATGCGGGTAAGTAGAACACTGATATTATTTCAAATGAAACATTTATTTTTGTTAACATATTATCTGGTAAGTACATATTTTAAGAAAATCTCCATGCTCTGCTTAAAGCGTCTTCTGCTTCGGTTTGGCTGTTGTTAGTTTGAATATTTGTAAAAGTAGGTGTGGAATTTATTATTTGTATGGGTGATGTGGAGTATGTAGACAAGTTTTCGTACAGATGTCGACGTCTAGCCGCAGTTATAATTGTCTGAATCTCAGTTTGCACGTTTAGTGCATCATCTAATGGTAGGGCTCGCAATTGGGCAGCAATATTCAAACCAAAAAAATGAAATTCATCATATTCTGCTTGTCTGTTTATAGACGAAGTTATATTTTCTAAACGATTTAGAGCAGAAGTGATCGGCTCTTCTTGTATGCTCCTTCTTTTACGCCGTGCTGGTGTGTCCTTAGATGAACGGGATGGTGTTCCTTCTTCCGCAATGTCAGTAGTCGAGGGTGGCGACATTACGGTGCTGACTGATGGCGGTGACAAGGGGTTAGAGTTCGAATTAGCACTAGTTGGTCGAGAATCCTGCGATGACTCATCTGTGTCCTGTAAAAAAGATTAATAATAATAATAATAAATATTAGATAATAATAATTCTACTGTATACTATTGAATATAGAGATTTTGTTTTCTTTTTTACAGATTCCGTGCCATGAAGAATGGAAGCGTATTGAGCATGGATTTCAAACTAAATGGAACTTTCGAGGATGTATTGAGGCGCTGGATGGCAAACACATAAATATACGTGCTCCTGATGATACTTCCGATTATTACAATTATAAGGGTGCCCACAGCACTATACTTCTCGCATTAGTTGACGATAATTACTGTTTTTCATATGTAAATGTTGGAACTAATGGGAGAGCTTCTGACGGCGGTGTTTTTCAACGATCAAAGTTGGCACAAGCTTTAGAAAATAATACTCTTAATTTACCAGAGCGATCGATAATTGTGGCAGACGCGGCTTTTCCTTTAAAGACATATCTAATGAAGCCCTACCCACGAACACCAACGCATAAAGAACAAGTGTTTACCTACCGTTTGTCGAGGGCTAGACGAATTGTAGAAAATGCGTTTGGTATTTTAGTCACAAGATTTCGAGTTCTTCTGAACACTATAGATATGAGACCAAAAAATTTTGATAGTATTGTATTGGCTGCTTGCTCGTTACATAATTGGCTGCGAAAAACATCCGATATGTACATCACTCACAGATGCGGCGATTTTGAAGATGTACAACAACGTGTTGTTGTACCAGGAGCATGGAGGACACAACTGCGTACAGCTATGGGAAGCCTACCACCTGCGCGTCATAGTAACCATGCCACTCGAAAGGCAGAAGCAATAAGAAACGCTTATGCACAACTTTTTGAAACTACAGAAGCGGTACCATGGCAAGACCATATGATATAAACAACCTGTACTTATAGTATATATTATGTTTTATACAAAACTCTAGGCGATATAATAATAAAAGTATAAAAACTTACCACTGCTGTCTCAATAGTTTTCCGGTAATCACCTGTGTCTCCAAGGAAAGAGTGCATTTCTTTAAACCATGGCAGGGGTGGACTATATACTGTTGCGGCACCAGATCCGGATCGCTTCGAACTGTTAATTTTTTTCACTTCCGAGTGGTAAACAGACCTCAAATTTTTAATTTTGGTTTTTCTAATTTTAACAGTTAGAGTAGGGTCATTCATGTTTATTATCAAATCTTTATACGCATTATTTCTTGAAATATTGTTTTTGTAATCCGGTAGCTTTGGATTCCAAAGGCATTCATGGCTCCGGTAAAGATTTACAAATTTAAACGTCATGTCATCTCCCCAGCGAGACATTTTGGCTCGATGTCGCAACACACATGCATACTTGCGACGGAACACTAGCATGCTCGTTATTAGCAAAGGCGTTCACACTTGCTCAAGGGCATTCCCCCTCCATCCACATCTCAAGTAGCACGCTCAAAAATCGAACGTCGACCGATTTGTCAGCATGCTAGTTTTGAGCATGCTGAATACTAGCAAATGCTTAGACACACGTGCGAGTAGGTAGCAATTGCTCATTAGTAGCATGCTTTTGTGCTAGTTTTGAGCATGTCTATCTGTACCTTTAAGGTACTGTTACACATGCTCATAAAATAGCATGCTTACGAGCATGCTTGAAAATCGCATGCTCTCCAAACTGATACATTTGCTCGTGTTTAGCATGCTTTTTTATGTGCATGCTCTCCTCGATCTTGCTCAAAGCAAAGACTCCGGACACACATGCTATTTAATAGCGAGCTGTTCGTTCAGTGTTCCACTGCAAAAATGGAAAACCAAGTGACTCTCTCCACAGAAGTGAATAAAGTCATCATTTTGATTGCAATACAGTGTGTCAAAAAACTTTTGGTATCAAGAAAGAAGAATAGAAGGAATAGGAAGATTTGGGTTCGAGATTGGCTAAGTAGAAGAGAAAACCTTGGAGCAAGTACTCGATTGCTAGCAGAAATGAGAGAAGAAGACATTGATGGCTACAAAAATCATTTGCGGATGCTGCCGCATCAGTTTGATGAATTGCTCTCTAAAACTGGAAGCGCTATACAGAAACAAGATACACACATGCGAAATGCTATTCCAGCAAAAGTGAAATTGGAAATTACATTGAGATAACATATCTAGCAACTGGAGACTCGTTATATACATTAGAAGCACTACACAGAGTTGCAAGATCCACTATAGCTAAATTTCTACCTGAAGTGTGTAATGCAATATACAGTGCTCTGAAGGATTATATGCAGGTAAGTAAATTAATCACTGGAGTATAATATGCAAGTATTTATTACATGAAAATATCGAGTAGGTATCTAACACAATTTTTCTATGCTATGGTTCAACACTGTTCCCATGCTTTGGTCAACAAATCAGTATAAGTCATTGCCTGTGTATTTGTAGTAGAAGGTGTGTCAGTCATGATTTGTGTATTTGTAGTGGGAGGTGTGTTAGTCATTGTTTGTATATTTGTGATAGGAGGAGTGTCAGTCATTGTTTGTGTATTTATCGTAGGAGGTGTGTAAGTTATTGTTGGTGTATGTGTATTAGGCAGTGTGTGTGTCTTTGTTTGTTGATTTGTCGTAGAATGTGTGTAAGTCATTGTTGGTAATATATTTGTGGTAGGAGGTGTGTAAATCATTTTTTGTGTAAAGGGAGACATGTTTGGGTATAGGTGTTGACGTCTTGCTGCAATCAGAAGTGTTTGGATCTCAGTTTGTAAATCTAATGCCGCGTACAATGGCAGGGCTCGCAATTGAGCTGCAACATTTTGAGCAAAATAATGGAATTCGTCGTATTCCGTCGGTCTATTTATAACAGAAGTTAGATTTTCCAAGCGATCGAGCGCACATGTAATTGATCCTTCTTCCAAGACTCCTTTTTTACGCCGTTTTGATGGGTTACTAGAGGAACGCGATTGTGGTCGGTCTTCCGTAGTTAGACTAGGCGAGGGTGATGACACGTTCAGTGACACGGACTGTGGCGTCATCGGGTTGGAATTGGAAACAGGATCACTTGATTGTGAATCTTGCGATGAATCTTCTACATTCTGAAAGAAAATATATTTTCAGAGAATTTTATCAAACATACTCAGTAGCTTTTTTTACAGATTCCGGGTCCAGAAGACTGGAAACGCATTGAACATGGATTTAGAACAAAATGGAACTTTCCAGGGTGTGTTGGTGCGTTGGATGGCAAACATATAAATATACTGGCTCCTGATGATACTTCTGACTACTATAATTACAAGGGCGCCCATAGCATTATACTTCTGGCATTAGCTGATGACGACTACTGTTTTTCATACGTAAATGTTGGAACTAATGGAAGAGCTTCTGATGGAGGTGTTTATCAACAATCGAAGTTAGCACAAGCCTTGCAAAATAATACTCTCAATTTACCAGAGCAATCAGTTGTTGTGGCAGACGCTGCATTTCCTCTAAAGACGTATCTTATGAAGCCCTATCGAACAACTCCAACACGTAAAGAAAAAATATTCAACTACCGTTTATCGAGAGCCAGAGGAATCGTTGAAAACGCGTTTGGTATTTTAGTAACAAGATTTCGAGTTCTTCTGAATGCAATAGATATGGCCCCCAAAAAGGTTGACTATGTTGTATTAGCTGCATGTGCTTTACACAATTGGCTTCGAAAAACATCTGATATGTATATCACGCAAAGATGCGTCGACTTTGAAGATATACAACAACGTGTTCTGATACCAGGAGCATGGAGGACACAACTGCGGCAAGCTTTGGAAGGCTTACCACGTACACGCTACAGTAACCACGCTTCTCAGCAGGCAGAAGCAATAAGAGACACTTATGCGCAGCTTTTTGTAACTACCGAGACGGTTCCGTGGCAAGACCATATGATATAAATTAAAAGTTGAAAATTAACATACCTATAATAATAAATAAGAAGACAATGAATGTTGTATGCTAATATATTGATTATTTGTTGTGTTAAGACTTGAGTGTATTTTCATTTAAAGTAAAGAGAAACTCACCAACTCAATAGATGTCCTGTAGTCACCAGTGTCTCCCAGAAAAGAATGCATTTCATGGAACCATGACGTGGACGGGTTGTATACCTCAGCGGTGCCAGAGCCTGATCGCTTGGAATGTTCAATTTTTTTTAGTTCATTGTGGTAAACCGACCTCAGGTTCTTGATTTTTGTTTTTAAACTTTTCAAACTTAACGTAGGGTCATTCATCTTCATTATCATATCTTCATACGCATTGTTTCTCAAAATATTGTTTTTATACTGCGAAGACTTTGGGTTCCACAGGCATTCATGATTTCGGTATAGAATAACAAACTGTAACGTCTTATCGTCACCCCAGCGCGCCATTTTTGCAACACACAAGCGCACCTGCTGCTAACAATTGCTGCGAACAACTGCTGCTCAATAATAGCATGCTTAATAAGCAGACCTGTTCACACGCGCTAAAACCACACCCCCTTCCACCCGCGCTGCAGGTAGCATGCTCAAAAATCGCAAGGCGGTCGATTTTTAAGCATGCTCAGAAAAAGCATGCTTATTTCTAGCAACGTATGTACACACATGCTACTAAGTAGCAATTGCTCAATAATAGCATGCTTTTGTGCTAGTTTTGAGCATGTGTAACAGTACCATTACTCTCAATAATGTAACGCTCTCGTAACTGGGACCTTGAATGACAAAAAGATGCTATCGCAAAATTAGGCAACCAGAGTTACATCGAACGAAACGAGGTTTTGCTAGAAAATGGTGGAGCGCATCGGGAACCGTCGATTCAACACATAAATATCACACCAGATCAAATTAGATGAAGGGTTATAAATTCGTTATAAATTAGTGTAAAAGTAATACATTAGACTTTGGGATGTAAAAATGGTGTTTTCGTTACAATAAAACTGCATAGATCCATTCACACATCATTTGAATTTCATTTGTGAAACTGCAATCGTTATTTGAATATTGTGAGCTCAAATTGCTTTAGAAATATGTTTGATCAGCGCAACGTGAGACCTGACAATATTTATCGGAAACAACGCTCGATTGCACATAGGATTGTTTCTACACCAACAATTAAATGTTTTAACAGTTGAGTAGAGGTCGTTAACGATGTTAGATTGCAACTCCCAGCGCAGTATAATTGATTGAATATAAATAATCAGATATGGTGACAACATAACATTTAATTATTTAGCAAATAAATTAAATCAAAATACTTTTAAATCAAATTAAATCTTCAGTCATATTTATTACATTATATGACCAGCTGTAAGGGTTTCCATATCCGGCCACTAAATTGTACCTATTCAAAGGGCATAATTTCAATTTTTGTCAAATCATCAATACGGCTTTCACTGATATTTATTCTACTCAACGGCTTTATGTCAGGGTACGAGGATTTCCATAGCCGGTGATCAATAATCAAAATTCAGATTCATGTGAGAAGTACGTAGTCAACCTACTTGACGCCATTTTTGTTCTAAGCTTTAGATTAGCTCTCATGCGTTTGTTAATAGGGTTAAGACAGTCGAGATTACCGAAATACAGAGCATGTGAGAAAAACTACTGTAGGCAAGTAGCGGTAAATTAGTCACATTTTTGGACAATGGATGAATTTAACGGTTTGGTGAACTTGGTAAAAAGTACAGTAATGATGTTAAACACACATGTAATAGGTTATATCGCTTGGAGACATTTTTACGTAGGGTTTCATAATCATATTCGTATTCGATAACGGTTGTGATTTGTTGAGAGTTCTCTCAGTTTTGGCACATGTGTTTATATACCGGCAGTCAAGATAATAGTACCAAACACTGTCAATCCAAAATGATAAAAGTGCTAGATACAAGGCTTTGATGAAGGTTCCAGCCACAATATATTAGTCTAATCATATCAGCAAATTTCCGCGAAATAATTGTAAAGTTTGGTTTTATTGATACAAGTTGTTCAAGAGGTTATTTGAAACATGGTCGCATTAAATGGGTACAGCAATTTTTGTGGGAAAACTTTTTATTTGACAACAAAGAATGACAAAACGTGTTTTTTTGATTTAATCGAACGTGTTGACAGAAACCAAAAAAGTTTTCATATAAGGTATTTATGAGTCCTACAAAACGAGACCACACGTAAAAAGATCCGACTAATAGCAAAAATGTTATGGCCCAAAAACGAGACAAAATGCATGTTTTGGCACTTGTTGGTAATGCGACGATAATTTCACGCAACTACTTGAAATTTTTCAAATCCGTAGAATTCATACTGCTAAATAACAACAACAAAATTGGAGTATATTGGTCGAGTAGTTTTTTGAGAATTTCCAACTGTTTATCCCAAAGCACCAGTCTTCCGGCCATCACTACTAGTTTATTGAGCAATATAAAGGGTTCGTTTAAAGAGTGTCTAATAACAATCGTTTTTACCTTTCCTGTGAGTTTTCGTTATAGTTAGCCGTTTTTGAGATATTTCGATTTTTAAGGTTCGATGCATTTTTAATTATTTATGGGAAAATAATATTTTTTTTACATTTTCGATTTGGGCATTACAAGTAATTAAGATGATCGTTTAGATTGTGTTTTTAAACACAGCAATAATTCCTAACTCCAAATAAACACAAAAAACAATATTAATTTGTTTAATTTTCCAATATTATTTTTAACAAATTAAATTAATTATTTACAACTAAAATGCTATTGGATAGTTAGGACAAACATCACACAAATCTAAAGTAGTTGCTCGAAATGTAAACCCAATTGTTCAATACACAATTCACATCTACGAATGATCGAACGTAGTATCGCATTTTTCAAATAAGGCCTTATTTCATCACATGCATTCCTGATTCTGTCTATTACCATATATCTTGTGGTTACGGGAGTCTTTTAGAAATCCCCACACAAAGAAATCTAATGGATTTAGGTCAGGGGACCTTGGAGGCCAGGCGACTGGTCCTCCACGGCCGATCCATCTTTCTGGATAATTTTCGTCCAGCCAGTTTCTAACTACTCTCGAATAATGAGCTGGACAACCATCAAGCTGGAACCAGGCCAATCTTCTTAAATCTAACATAACATCATCCCACATATTTGCATGTTCAGCATTTAAAAATTCCAAGAAGGTCGCAGCATTTAACCTTGCAGGCAAAAGGTAGGGTCCAAATAGTCGATTACGGTAGATACCAATCCACACGTTTACACTAAATTCATGCTGAAAATTTCTTTCCCGGACTGCATGCGGATTTTCATGCGACCAAATATGTTGATTATGAAAATTTACCACTCCACGTCTAGTGCAGCATGACTCATCGGTCCATAAAACGTTACTTAAAAACTCCCTATTATTATCAGTTCTATCAAGAATCCACTGACAAAATGTGATTCTTCGTTCTCCGTTCCCTCGCTGTAGTCCTTGCACAGATTGCAAATGGTAAGGACGTCTATGGTCATTTCTAAGAACACGGTGAACATGGCTTGCTGAAATTCCCAACGCACCAGCAACTCTCCTAACACTTGTGGTCGGATCTCTATCAAACTCATACAGAAACATACGGGTAAATCTGCGCTGACGAACATTTATGTTTTGATCCCCTTGGAGATTTCCAAAACCATTTTCAATTATTTGGCGATGTACTCTTACAAATACTGAGCGAGTTGGATGTCGTCTGTTTGGAAATCTTCGTGCGTATTCTCATGGTGCTTCTGCTGCAATTCCATTTACAAAGCCATACACAAAATGAATATCCGCTAACTCTTGACTGGAGAATAAAAATGGCATTTTTATACAAACTTACAAAAAAAAAACAGGTAAAAGAAACTAAATTTCGTGCATTCACAATTGCAAGAAAACGTTTCAGGTTTCAACAGACAACAAAACTAACTGTCAACTAATTGACGTTTAACCTTATTCTGCCTTTCAATTTCAAAAATATTTGCAGGCACAGCCTACTTCTAAAAATTATCGAGATACTGACTTTTTAACGTTATTTTATCATAAATAATTAAGAATGCATCGAACCTTAAAAATCGAAATATCTCAAAAACAGCTAACTATAACGAAAATTCACAAGAGAGCTTTTTTATGTTGAAAAGTGCGAAGAATCAGTTTTTTTATTCAAAAAGCAAAAAATTGCACTAAGAAAAATTTTTCGGTCATTTTAATACACTACAGGTACAGGAGAGAGCGCCCTCTAGCGGCTCCAGTAAAACTATGCCCATGGTTCGTTTTGTCGTACCAAAAAACCCTTGTATACCAATTTTCACTGTTATACATCAAATATTGTTCGAAATATTTAAAAAACACTATTTTAGAAAGTAAATTTAAACACCATGTATTTCGGAAGCCACGCATTTTTCGACCCATGTTTATATAGACTTTATGCATTAATTTTAAAAGTTCTATAGAATCTTTAAGTTATGCAACAATAAACTGAAACACCCTATACTAAATGACATAGAAGATGCAACACCGACTAGGTGTGCTATAATTTTGAGCATACTTTTACAAGTTTTAGGTCTACTGATAAATAGATGATGGAAATTTTAACTCGAAATTTCGCAAAATACTCGTAGCTGAGATAGTGTGTGTTGCATTTTACATTCCATTTCGTATATACAGAGTGACTTCGAAGTTGAGTCATTTATTTTAACAGTGAGTAGATCTGATCAAAAGAAATGCTTTTTTCCTTTAACATTTTTCTGGTAAAATTAAAGTAACAAAGTTATAGCCCTTTAGAAGTTTGAGTACCGCCCTGTCTCAATAATAATATTATGTGCTCGTGTTTGGCAACAACGGATATAATCCGCCTTATCCGTTCATCGCATCGGAAACAAAAAAGCGAAAGAATTTGAAACGATGTTTTTACTACAATGTACAATTTTATTCAGTTGTTTTCCGTCAATGTGTCAGTCGGTAACGCGTGAGTGAATAGTGGTGTTTGTTGCGTGGCTCAAACGAAATAAAAAATGCACATGTTTACGAAAATGCTGAACTTGTGGACATGATTCTTATTTACGGGGGGGGCGGATCGGTTTCCCAATCGAGTGCAACCAACCCCTCGTGCCTTGTTAATGTAGTACAAAGGGCTCGTGAATCAGGTGACTTAAGACCTCACAGGGGAGGGCATGGCGGTGCTCCAAGACCGCACGATCAAATACAGGTCCGTACTGAAATAATTGTCGGGAGGATACTTTATAAAACAAGGTAACATTTTTTTAATTTTTATTTTTATTTTTACACACATATTTTGGTTTATCTTCCTTCTACAATCATTATCTGAAAATTAATGACTCAACTTCAAAGTCTGTATATACCTAAGGAGCAGTAAATCACTTTCACTAAAGCCAGCCCGGCGAATTTTATCCATCACATGGCAGCACATTCTGAGCACACCGAGTAGCGGTATAAGGATACTGTCGACGCGCGACCTTGATTACTGTACACTTGTCTGTCGGTCCAAGTGCATTGCTCATAATGTAGTTAAAAGAAGAGGTATTGTACAGGTAGTCAAGATTTCTCATGTCGATGTATGATCCGCGATCTGGCACTCTTCTAGCAATGCTGCCGTACTTAGGTAAAAGGCAGC